CTTGTTGTACCAAAAAACAAAGAAAGCCTTTTTAATATAAGCAGGTTGCCAGTGAAATTGTGTGTATTTACTTTATTCTAACATTATTTGTCTTTCTGTATTACACTGGTCACATTTATACGTAAGTAGCTAGTTTTCAACACCGCACTTTTTTTTTATCAGATTGTGTGATGAGGTCAGATGATGGTAATGGATATCTGTAGTTGTGGCTAATTGGTAGTTGTGGCTAATGGTAGCCATGAGACCAGTTAGTCCTGTTATGTAAATACAGCTATTTCCCATTTTCTGTGCAGTGTGAGATTATTAGAATTTATGTATATTTATCTTTATTCGTATATTATTTTGCTGTTGGAATTAGTTCTAGGTTTCGTATAACTAAATTTTTTTAACCTGTGCATTTAAGTGACTTTCACTACCTATGTTGCTTGATATAGGGGCGTTATTCCTAAATTTGTTCCTGTTAGTGGCCGGGCCTCCGGTGTCAATCCTATTAATAAAGCTAGAACGTTTTAGCTGAAGAGTTTACCTTAGTCGCTCGATTTTATGTTTTAGTGGAATAAATGGCAATGTTAGGGTACTGGTAAGCCCTTCTAACTGTTTTTTTCACATGTTGACTGTGAGTCCCTGGTTAGATTTGGGGTTATTTCATACCCATTTCCAAATGGAGCAACTCGGGAGCTCTGTGAATGTTGACTTACCTGCCTTCCAGGTGGGTAGCATGGTTTGCTGTGTGTGGCTGGAGCGCCGTGTCCCTTCCTGCTGTCACATTGTCTCCAGATTTATCAAGGTGATCACTAATTCTGATGCTATTTCTGATTTCCTTTTCCCTATTTAGATTCCAGGAAGTGGTTTACTGGGAATACAGTGGAAACAAAGGTGAATAAGAACTTTCTATATGATTGTCAGCTTGTTTGTACAAGAATTTACCATGTGAATGCCCTAATGGAATAGAAGGAAAACATTAACACTGACCAAGGCAATCTATTACCACCCTAAAGCGTATTCTCCAAAGTGAGAAGTCAAAGTGAATTTCAAATTTAAGGCCAAAATAGATGAGCTGGAAAAAACCCAGATATGCTTCCAATTCGTCTGTTTTGGTCTACAATTTGAAATCCAGTTTATAAGGCGCTAGTGTTGGTAAGTGTTGTATATTTCAGTTTGGGAATAAATAAAGAATAGTTTTTTACAGTAACCGTGACTATAATGCTATTTTGTTCTGTCCAGCTGGGTTTCTGGTAGTGAAGATGGGAGATTTTGTGTCTCTCTGATTGTGTGTGTCTTGCAGGATATTAAACCAAGGAACAGAAAGGGGCACAGTGCAGTGATCTATCAGTCCTGTATGTACATTTATGGTGGATATTTTGATATCAGTGGAGCCATTGAAGAATTTTGGGCGTTTTATTTTGGTAAGTTTCAACTTAGTGAACATATCTCACACAGTCATGGTTTTAAAGTGAATAATTTATCCCCCAAAAAAGGTAAACCGCCAAGTCTGCATTAGCTAGATGTACTATGTTAATGTACACATTGCATTAGTCACAGACTTTGCTAAGAATTGTACAGATTCAATTACATATACCTGAGGTTCGCTTTGAGATCATGTTTTCACCGTGTGAACTTTGTTCTGTAATACTGAGTGCAGTATCTGCACCTTGAAATATTCACTGTGTCATATTAAAATGAAATATATTTTCTATAGCTCTCTAGGCGAAATCTTCTTTCCTATTGTCCTATTGAATGCTATTTGTAGTGTTCTACAAGAAGAAACTTGTTTTTTCTCCACTAGATGCAAAAAAATGGTCCATTCTAAGTACCCGCCGACATGGTTTGGGTCCTGGGCCACGCCACGGACACTCTTGCGTTACTCATAACGCTGCCATGTACCTGTTTGGGGGACTAAAGCACATGACGGAGCAGAACGATTTTTGGAGGTTTGATTTCCGGAGGCACAACTGGACCAGCATTAAAACCAGGCAAGTTAGACATGTCAGGCAGTAACACATTTAGCTGGATCACTAGGAGTTCGTCTCTAGCTCTAAAAAGTTTGGCAAAAATTATAAAAATGTTTTTTAAATAATGCTATTTTGTAAACTCTGTATTGGTCAAATAAACTTATTGGTACTAAAATACCTCCTGCAGGGTGAGATCATGACAAGTATAATCTGCATGTCAGGCCCTGCCATCCTTCTGTCTGTCTCAATACTGCATGTCCGACCGTCTGATACATTATAAATATAGACAAGAAAGGAAGAGATGGAGGATGCAATAGAGAACAGAAAGCAATAAAGCACTGGACAGAACCAGATCCTAATTCATATGTATATATATATATATAACTAGCTGTCTCCTGCAACAGATTTCTACTAAGGACACCGTTACTTAACTGCCTGATATCGGTTTTAGGATAGCTAGCTAGTAAAAGCTAAGCTGCCCCTGACGCTGTCTCCTGCAAGAGATTTCTGCTGAGGACACCGTCACAGAAATGTCTCAATCACTCAACTGCCTGGTATCAGTTTTATGATCGATTGCTAGTAAGAGCGAAGCTGCCCCTGATTAGCCATTTTTCACTTTTATATTTATATTTCACTCTTTGCAGGACTATTTAAACAGCTGTCTACATTTACTCGCTAGTTATAAGAGTGCGCTAATCTCTGCACCAAACAGTTATAGAGATCTGACACCTACACCCAGATATCGTTTTTTTACGAGAATGCATGAAGGTGTCAGCCTACACCCGTTTCAGTGGGACATTGTAGCCAATACATTTATCCTTTTGTGTGTCGTTTTCTTCTTTCTATATTTTTTTAGTTTTTATTTATTTTGTTTGTGGTTAGTCAATGGACTTATCTTATTGATTAAATGTTAAGTTTTATATATAGGAATCAGGATCTGGTTTTGTCCAGTGCTTTATTCCTTTCTGTTCTCTGTTGCATCCTTCACCTCTTCCTTTCTTGTACATTTACACCGGGGTTAACCCCCATCAGGAGGGTATGCAACTTTAGGCTCCATTTGTGTTCTTTTTCTTTTCTTTTTTTTTTTTTATTAATAGCTCCCAGATCTGCTAACTCTAATCGGATTTTATTCTAGCTCTGGGCCTCCTAAACTAATAGGACACCATTCCATAATCCATCATGGATGCCTGTGGGTAATTGGGGGAGGATTACCGTACCGCAGCCCCACCAGCAACTTGTGGAAATACAATTTCAACTCTCGGACGTGGAAGAAAGTGTCAGCCGGGAAAGAGAACAGCCAGCATGCAAAAATGTATCACTCGGTTATAGGAGTGGACTCCAAATTGAATCCAGGTCTGCCAGAATCCCGAGATGCACTATTCAATGTCTGTGAGAAATTTTGCGAAGAGATAAAGCCATATTCTTTTTTTCACAAAAGAGGCATGAATAAAGTGGCAAGTATTTCAACTGGAGACCTTTTAGAAATGGATAATATGAACGCTTACCCCCCGCCACCAGTGCTTTGTGCCTGTCCTTTTTCCAGAAGCGAACAGACGGATGAACGGCGTTTGCTTGCCAGCTACGAGAATGAAACTTTTGTAGGGGAAATCGAAGAGAAGGACGCAGATTTACATGGCACTAACACGCAGGACAAACAGGATGAAATTCAGGACGTCTGCCTGATGTTCGGTGGAAAGCCTCTATTGTCGTCTTCCACCATTTCTGTTTGGCAGCTTAAATTGGACTAAAGCTGCAATGAATAGAACAGCCGATCTGATATAATCTTTAGTATGTTTTGCAAGCCTTTCTATTTTTAGGACGTTTACCTCTAAAAGTTGGATTTATTTGGAACAAAATCACTGCCACCTGTTTATAGCTTTCTGTCACTCCTGGCTGGCGGCTGCGCACTATTTGGTGACTTTATCACTGCTGGCTGCACACTTTTGGTAGTTTTTCTCTCTCTCGGCTGCCGAGTGCATACTGGTTTTGTGATCACTCCGGCTGCTAGCTGTGCACTATTTCCTACTTTCTATGACTTTTCGAGGTGCTATACTATCTGAAAATGCATAGCATTTATAATACATGTAACCAATCTCAGGTGTAATCACAGCTTGTGACATGTTGTGGCAGCAGTAGAAAACTTTCGGTATTACGTGAATACAGCCCTTTGCAGACACTCACTGCCATAAGTTACTACCTGAGAAATGTTTTTTTTAAATACGGTATGTTGTGAAATTATACCAGCTTTTTTAACTGCAATGAAATAGCCCAAAATTAAATTATTAAACCGCATTATATTACAGAAACCCAGCACAAGCACTTACTCATAGAGCTCCCTCTAATAAAGGATTTCAAGAATTGATTTGATGAGGGGAATGTCTAACATTTCAATCTTGTTACAGGAGAATTATGTACGTAAATAGAAATTAGATTTTATTTAACAATTCAGAATTGCTGGAGACTCGAGACAGGATTGCAGAGATTGTTGGTCCATGAAATAATGTATTTTACGGAGACACCTAATGAATGGACTTTATTCTCCTGTCTTGTACTACGTTTAATCTTCTGCAAGTTTGGTAAGATTTCTGTAATTTGAAGAATCCTCAATTAGCATATTATGATCAACAATAGGCTCACTACAATAAAAAGGGACGTTTCCCCTTTAAGTAAATCCAGTGTACGCTTTTATAGTATTATACATCTTGTTATACTGAAAGAGTTTATGTATTTTTAACAATTCTGTACGTATATTAGTATCATAAAGTTGCAAATATATATTTATTTGTACAATAGAGTATTTTATTACATTTTATGTATTTTTACAACATGCATAAATAAATATAAGGCTTTTTTTCAAAATTTTTTACCAGTCGTGGAATATTCCATCTGGCGTCTGATTTAGCTGCGGTAATATCATAGTTTAATTTGTTTTTTTGTTTGATGTCCATTCATATTAGAATGTAAAATCCATGAATTATATCATAATCCAAAATATGCTATCAACAAGCCAGCAAGTAAAAACCTCTGTTAAAAGGATTACTCCAGACACCATGACTGCTCCCGTTCTTTGTAGTGGTCATGGTGTTTGGAGTCCGTAGGTGTAGCGTTTCACATAAAGAGTAAAAGCTGATGGGGGTATAATACTTGCGGGAGTAATTAGCGTAAGTGACGTCACTGGAGAGGAATCGGGCGAGGGGGCGTGGTTTCTCTAACCAAATACAATGCTTTATTTAAATACTATTTGGTTTTTGTTAAAAAAAACAAAACAATCCCCCACCCTCCACCCCCACAAAAAACAAACAGTTGTGCTGGCTTTATCACCAGCTGTTTTGATTTCTTTCGAGGTTACAGCTTGTATTGCTGCTGTTGTACATTTCAGATCGTTACAGCTGTGGTCTTTTAATTATAGCTTTAACTTTGTGAATGGTGTTAAAATGAGCCGTCAGTAGGAGGGGAATGCAGATAAATTGAGGTAAATGTTTTATTCAATTTAATTTTTTTTTTTTTTTTTTAAAATACAGCATTTTTGGTGCCGTTACTATGAAAGGCTGTAAGGAATTAAACGTATTGCAGTGTTAAGGTCACGTAACCCATGGGAACAATAATATTAACAGGGTTATTTACTAAAAAGTTAGACTTGTCAGGCAAGCAAAGTGAATTCAAGTTTGAAGCCAAAGTAACCGAACGGGAAGCACAGCTCACTTGGATAAACTTTCATTTTGGCAAATTCTACCTACATTTAAAATTCACCTAGAATTTTTGGGGATTTTCACTTTAATTAATAATGGTCTTAAAATAAGCATTTTTTATTTTTTTTTTACTAAATTATATTCTTGTAATCAGAACAAAAAAGAAACAAACACATGAGCAACATTTAGTAATGTCATGTCAAATGGAATGCGATCAGCATTATAACTATTTCCGCTTAATGAAGCAGTTGTGGTGTATAGATCATGCCTATTTAATCTCACTGCTCAATTCTCGGAAATTTAGGAGTTAAATCACTTTTGTTTCTGTTTCTGCAGCCCTATTCTCACCTCCCCTTCTACATTGAAAAAAATGTTTACATTTCAATCAGATGTTAACTTGCTTTAGAAATTTCTATATACTGCTCTGTAAATTGACCTTTAATCACACAAAGGAAGCTTCTGCAGGATCTACAAGGAGATTAATAGAGCTGGAATAAACCGAATGTGCAATAAAGGAACCTCGATTATTGAATTTCCTTTTCTGGAAGTGTTTAGCAAGGCAGTGCAAGTCGCATGCAGGGAGGTGTGACTAGGGCTGTATAAACAAAGTGATTTAATTCATAAATGGCAGAGAATTGAGCAGTGAGACTGCTTGGGCATGATCTGTACACCAAAACTGCTTCATTGAGCTAAAGTTGTTTTGGTGACTATAGTGTCCCTTTACCCCTTGTCTGAGTAAGATTATCTGCATTCCCACAAATTGCTAATACAATCTGACACCAGGAAAGGCACACAGCTCAAGGATGTAACGCTCCATTATTTACTTTTTATTTTCTAGCTATTTGCGTATAGCAATAACAGGTTGCCTGCTGTCGTGGTCATGTGTTCTGAGCGCAGATTAAGGAGAATGTGGTGTATTGTAACGTCACTAGTCAGACAGGTTTCCCAAATCTGGTTTTATTTTACACAGGAGAATAAAACTTTAATTCCCAGTCTTTTAACAAGTCCGACACACACCAGGTAGCCAGATAGACATGCTGTGCCAAGGACGCTTCCAGAATATATATACCATGCATGAACATTTAAACTCAGTGTGAATGTCACTTCACAGAGTGTTGTCACCCCCCTTATCCCTCTTTTGCCCATCCCCTATTTTTATTATTTTTTTACAATCTTTTTGTTATGCATAAAGTACGGACTCTTTACAGGGAAGGTGATATTTGGCATTTTTACTGCTTAATGGTAGTTTACCCACAATGCATCAGACAAAAGAATCCCACAAACAGAAACAACCAGAATCAGAGGAGAGAAAAAAAAAGTCAGCCCCCAGGCATGGAGATCAAGGAAGGAAGTGCCACGGAAGGAAATAGAAACATTGGGCCCAATAAAATGAAAACTGGGAGAGGAAAAAAAATAAAATAAAAAATGGGCCACATTAAGCTATTCACCGCAGAGTGTCACAATATGAAGGGTGTAATCACATGCCCTGAAGGGGTTAAATGTATCCGCATTGTAACACTTTGATGAACCAGAATGTTCCGTGCTGTAACGACCGGTTCCATTATGCCATTTCAGATTAGCAGCTCTGTAGAGATATGCGCTCTGTGACTGAGCAGGGCGCTTGGCTAAACAGTCGTTTTGATATATGCGGTTACAAGTCCTTAAGGGGTTAAATTTTATTAATGATAAATGTGCATTTTATGGCTGCTCCCCCTGCCAGCAGTTCATTTACTGAATATTTAATAAACATCTTCTATAACCTGTTGGAACGACAATGAGGATTTGTTCAATAGATCAGAGACGTTTTACAGCCCTGGCAGGGAAATTTATTACAAAAACAAACAAAAAAAAACCCCGTGATAACACTCAATTTAAAGACACCAGTTTCATTAATCACCATCATGACTGCATGTTTATAACGAGATGTATTTTGTGATTTACACTGATTTCCGGTGAAATATGAAAATTCTAGATAGATAATGTGGAAAATGAGAGCAAGACAGACATAAGTGGTTTCTTTATGTATTTCAGAGCAGGAATTAATTCACAGTGTGTACAAAGCAAAAATCTCAGTGCGGCTAATCGTGTACGCAATAAAAAATAACTTACATTTCGTCTACAGCAATGCTTTACATAGCAAATACAAGAAACCCAACATTTAGTGTTACACAAGTAAAAAAATGAGCTAAAATATATATTATATTCAGATTTAAGGATACATTGTACAACCTGTGTCTTTAAATACAAACAGGTTCTGAGGTTAAACAATATTAGCGTACAGGGAACAGTGGTGTATTATGACATAAAAACATATCATCATGGAAGAATTGTGGAGGCAGTGAATATGCAGTGCTGGTATCTTAGCGTAAAACTCAGTATGTCCAACATACAGTTTATTCACTAAAAAGGGAATTGTTGGAAATTTGTGTAGAATTTTAGGCCAAAAGTAGCTGAACAGAAACCATGGAATTGTGAGAATTGCTCCAATTTAGTTATTTGTGCTACAATGTTAAAAGTCACTTTAAATTAGATTTGATTTCCCAGAAGTTCCGTTTAGGGAGTAACCCAGACATTTTTAGACCTCATGGTTTGTTGTGGGCATTACCACTTCGTTCATTCACCACCGCAAGAGTTATGAGGAATTTACCAAGGAATTATTCAATTCAAAAACTTCCCCAATTTAGCTTTTTTTGGCCTGGCTACTCTCACCTAAAAACACAGGACCCTGCCAAATTTTCCAGAACTCCACGATTTGTAAATAAGTACCGTTGTATGCTCCTAGCTTTCTCCTGCTGTGTTTGCTGTCCGTGAATCAGTAACTGTAGAGCCCCTTCTTCCGAAGTACGAAATACGCGACAAACTGTCTCCTGTAAAGCCAACTAAACTTTTTTTCAGGGGTGTTTAATAGAAACCCACCACCCCAACTGCTGGTTATTAGAGTTGCAGTTCAACTCGAACGCAAGAAACTTACATTTTTACACCCCAAAATTCATTTGAATTCAAACCCAAAACCTCCTTTTCAAGTCATATTAACGGTTTATGTGCATTGTGAAGGGTGGTTTGGCTATGAGATCCTTTGTGGTAGGGGGGCTGACCTTTAACAGTGACAGGACTGATGGGGGGCCGCATTGCTCCCTAGTACAAAGTGTCTGGTGCATCCCTAGGCTGTATGTTATTGACACTGCATGGTAATTGACGTATAAACCAGCAATTTGTTACAGTATATCGTGCACTCTTAAAATTGGTACTCTGTCATTTCATTTACTTGTCAGTAACTAGAAGGAACTGACCGATATAACCTGAAATAACTAGTTAATGAAACCCTGTGTAGGTGGAAGCATGGTGCAAGTTAACTTAGGAGGATTTGGGGAATTCTGTCCCTAACCACGATCTCCATCGCCCTACCTGAGTTACCGCAGCTGTGTAGTCACATTCAATACCCATATTAAAACACATGGCTGTAAGGGAACACATTAAAATGTCACCCGTGTGACTTCTAGGTCTCTCAGAGCTGGAATATTTTATAAACCTTAACCCACCCTATGTATCCTTCGTACCGCAGACCGTACAATGCACACTGTACTGAGACACCTATATACGAGTACAGGAGATGAGAGGTAGTGGTACATATAGCAGATGCCAAAGGAGAACATGGCAGCTATGAGAAACTGGACCCAAGAGACCGATTATTTAAATTACCACAAGTCAGCTGGGACACAACCACACACTAACCTCGCACTTACAGCAGCAGCCAGTCCTGTGCTACGCGGCTCAGCTGCTGGAAATGGCAGTGATAAATGGAAATTGTACAAATTGTTGCATGGCTGGCTCTACCTGTGACCCCTGCAGAGGCCTCGATACAGAATCCTGCCCATGGTATTAGCTGCCAAGGATACAATCATTATTGAAACATTTTTAAAACTCAACTTTTTAACTAACAAAAGAAACAAATGTTAACAAAAGGAAATTTTTAAACTTCCAATATTTTAAAAATAATGGCTGCAGAACGTGTTCTCTCATATTTTTGATGAAGAATCTTCAATTTGTATTTAAAGGGATCAGATCAGAAAGATTATGAGGATTACACAGCAAATATTAAACAGTATCACCTTTAAGGAGAAAACTTTGCCAGCACAGGATAGTTGTAAGCAATTAACTGCAGCCATAGGAGTAAAATCCTTGTTGTCATCTGTTAAACATTAACTGTACTAAATCCTATAATTACACTTTAAAATCTGACGCATAATTGTACAATAATCGAGTAATGTTTAAGGCAGTCGTTTAGCTAAGGAGTCACACTGTAATTGTCTTTTAGATTAACATGGAATGTTTTGGGATGGGTCTGTCCCGTTAAAACCATCACAGTTCAGGTATCGGTAGAAAAGAAAATCTTCCAGTGTAGAAAATATAATCGTGAACCTACTAATACAGTCAGTCCTGTTACCAACAGGACTGGCTAAGAGCAATCCAACCTCGCTCCCAGGATCCCATTATTTAGTGAATTCCAGTGATTCCCAGGAAGGCAGAAGCAGTTTCATAGTTCAGTGGTGAGCAGACATTTCGGCCTGATCAGCTCTTCACAAATCACAGTGCTTGAAGGGAACACGAGAGAGGTACACATATTTAGCATTGGATTGTACATTCTGCATGGCAGCATTATTCATTTAATTACCATCAGCAGGAGGATATTCTATGTGTCCAGGATGACATGGTGGGTCTGCCAGCAGTTCTTAGTGCTAAGGGTGGTAGGGAATGGCAGACTGAGCTCTGTATAAAACCTCATTCTCTGGGCCCCCAATTCTCACATGAAAACATGTATTGGTCTCATACCCTCATTATCGCAGTTCATACCAGGAGACTATATCAACGACATAGGTTTCCATTAAAAATGTTTAATTTAATCGGAAACACAATGGACTGAAGCCTTTAGAGCCTAAATGACGGATTAAGCAGAAGCAAGTCTGCAGATTAAATTTACCCACTTTTTGCAAGAAACTTATAGAAATCAGCTATATCTGCCCTCGGCAGCACATGCAGCCATAAAGCAAACCGTAATAAATGTTTTAAGTAATTGGGCATATTGGAGCTGTCTATACGGTTAACACTTTCTCTGATAGTTCACTATCATGCTTGTGCTTATTGTAAGGATTCCATTAGGATTGGTAGCCGTCTGCCAGCAAATTTGGTCGAACCAACCTCTGCCAGTTCCGTTTAATAATCAATGTATCCGAGTGTTATTCACTCCTGGTTCCAGCCATTTGGTTGTGTTCGGCCAGCTGAATTCTTAAGATTTACTATTGTCTGGATTTTCCAATAAAGCCTTAGAATTGCAAAGTATGGAATTCGCAGCTCAAATGCCCCAGATTATCTTTAGATGATTTGAACTGAGGGCATTTGGCTTTCAGTAAATAACAAATCTGCTGAGATGTCCGGCAAGCAAATCATTGGAGATGTTAATCACTAGGAAGTTTGGGTTATAGTAATTTTACTATGGTAACTATGATGTCAAAGATATCCAAAATGAAAAAAAAAAAAGATGAATGATGGGAAATGAAAGCCTCTTACCTTGTGTTGGCCTCAGCAGGGTTTGGGGGATCGACAGCCTCTACAGAGAGAGTGTCTCCAGAGGGGCCTATTGCTTTAACAGGCAGGTTTGTGTCCCCAGTCAGGTGTCCATTGGATGTGGTGGAAGTCTACAGAATAAAGGACATGGGTTACAGGGACCACATTGTGTAGTAGCAACATATCAGAGATCGGTCAGTGGATATTGAGATAATATGCAGTCCGGCAGCTCATACAATGATGTAATCATGACATGAACTGGACAGAAAGCTAGAGAGGAGCATCCGTTCCCTTTATTTATATAAAGGTACTTTTATACCTTATTATAGCGCTCAACTGAACTTGCTGGGGTTAATGTCAAGTTAAGCCACTCACCCAGTCTTCCCTCTGCATTTTAGTGTGTACACGTTAGAGAGATACTTGCACTTTTGTGGTAGCAGCTATTTTAAAGTAATATTTTATTTATTTTTTAATATAAGCGCCTTTTTTTTTGTTCGCAAGCAAGTACCTATGCTTACAGACACAATCGGTCTCCTATATCTGCAGTTCCCAACTCCGTAATGGCCGAACCACTGCCTATGCAGCAGCACCGGGTCCAACAAGCTGGTGTTTCTTGGAGTCTCGCTTGTGGTACAACAGTACATTGAGGGAAAAAAGTATTTGATCCCCTGCATATTTTGAACGTTTGCCCAGTGACAAAGAAATGATCCGTCTATAATATTAATGGTAGGTGTATTTTAACAGCGAGAGACAGAATAACAAAAATAAATCCAGAAAAACGCATGTCAAAAAAGTTATAAATTGATTTGCATGTAAAATCATGTAATCTTGGGTCCAGTTTCTCATAGCTGCCATGAGTAAAAGTCCTTCGACTTAGGATTTGGTTGCAAAACCCTTGTTGGCAATCACAGAGGTCAGACGTTTCTTGTAGTTGGCCACCAGGTTTGCACACATCTCAGGAGGAATTTTGTCCCACTCCTCTTTGCAGATCCTTTCCAAGTCATTAAGGTTTCGGGCTGACATTTGGCACCTCATACCTTCGGCTCCCTCCACAGATTTTCTATGGGAATAAGGTCGAGAGACTGGCTAGGCCACTCCAGGACCTTAAGGTGCCTCTTCTTGAGCCACTCCTTTGTTGCCTTGGCTGTGTGTTTTGGGTCATTGTTATGCTGGAATACCCATGCACGCCCAATTTACAATGCCCTGGCTGAGGGAAGGAGATTCTTACCCAAAATGTGATGGTACAAGGCCCCGTCCATCGTCCCTTTGATGTGGTGCAGTTGTCCTGTTCCCCTTAGCAGAACCCCCCCCCGAAGCATAATGTTTCCATCTCCATGTTTGACGGTGGGGATGGTGTTCTTGCGGTCATAGGCAGCATTCCTCCTCCTCCAATCACGGCGAGTTGAGTTGATGCCAAATAAGCTCGATTTTGATCTCATCTGACCACAACACTTTCACCCAGTTCTCCTCTGAATCATTCAGATGTTCATTGGCAATCTTCAGACGGGCCTGTACATGTGCTTTCATGAGCAGGCGGACCTTGCGGGCGCTGCAGGATTTCAGTCCTTCACAGCGTAGTGTGTTACCAATTGTTTTTTTGGTGAATATTGTCCCAGCTGTCTTGAGATCATTAACAAGATCCTCCTGTGTAGTTCTGGGCTAATTCCTCACCGTTCTCATGACCATTGAAACTCCACGAGGTGAGATCTTGCATGGAGCACCAGACCGAGGGAGACTGACAGTTATTTTGTGTTTTTTCCATTTGCAAATAATCGCACCAGCTGTTGTCACCTTCTCACCAAGCTGCTTGGCGATGGTCTTGTAGCCCATTCCAGCCTTGTGTAGGTCTACAATCTTGTCCCTGACATCCTTGGACAGCTCTTTGGTCTTGGCCATGATGGAGAGTTTGGAATCTGATTGATTGCTTTTGTGGACAGGTGTCTTTTATACAGGTAACAAGCTGAGATTAGGAGTACTCCCTTTAGGAGAGTGCTCCTAATCTCAGCTTGTTACCTGTATAAAAGACACCTAGGAGCCAGAAATCTTGCTGATTGATAGGGGATCAACTACTTATTTCACTCTTAAATAACATGCAAATCAATTTATAACTTTGACATGCATTTTCCAGGATTTTTTTTTTGTCTCTTACTGTTAAAATACACCTACCATTAAAATTATAGACTGATAGGACGGAACAGTAGAATAAGGTACTAAATAAAAACGTTCTAAGTTCAAGGTGATTGGGGGGGGGACCACGAGTCATGGGGACCAAGAGGTCCTGTAGCGGAACCAAAGCAGTGTGCACAACATGCAAAGCCCAGGTCAAGTAGGTACACAGGTTGAAGTTAAAGTTGAATGTTACCCTTCCCTTAACCTCCTTTTCTTTCTGTACTCGGTTGCATGACGTGAAAAAGATATAAGCCACGTATGCTCACGAACTTAGAGAGCATAGGTAACCAATGTTCCATGCCGAAAATGCTTCAAACAAGCTGTCACATAAGCAACAGTATAACACGACGCCGAAGTAAAGCAAAAGTCAGCACTGTATTAATGTACGGGTTATAGTGTACGTGTTATAATGTATGAGGTATTTTGCAAACCGGTGATGCTGTACCTGGTCAATGAGCTGCTGCGTCAGCAAATGTATTATGCACTGGAGTACTACCCAATAAAAAAGATATATAAGAAAAAAATTAATTATAGACTGATCATTTCTTTGTCAGTGAGCAAACGTTCAAAATCATTAAGTACTTATTTCCCTCACTGTAATTCTGTAAGTTACATGACACTTTTTATAGGTGTTTTATTATATATTAAATACAATCATTTAATATATTTTTCACATCATTTTACATTTTCTAAATAAATCTAGAACACCTTTGTTATATTTTATGTGTGTGACGTACTTAGCCATTGCACTTAGAGGAACACTACAGGGTCAGGAAAACAAACACGTATTCCTAACTCTAGTATTAAAAACACTATTTAGCCCTCCTGGCCCCTCTAAATATATTATAGTTATTCCAGTCTGCTGGTGCTGCCTCTGCCCCTGATCTTCCTCCTTGGCCGATGATACCAGAAGTGATCATCTCAGCCGGTCACAATGCTTCCCAAGGAACGCCACCCTGGCCAATCAGCATCTCCTCATAGAGATTCATCGATCTATGCAACTCTATGAGGAAAGGTTCAGTGTCTCGATGCAGAGGGTAGAGACACAATGTCAGTGCTGCACACTGTGTAGCACTGCCCCAGTAAACACAATATTTACTGCAAAAATGCTGCAGGGATTGACTATACACATCATAACTACATTAAGCTGTAGTTGTTCTGGTGACTATAGTGTCCGTTTAAGGTTGCTGCTGTTATTGTGTGGGTTATAGCGCCACCTATCACTTAATCTTGTTATTGCATATATTGCTTAAATGGTTATTACAGGCTCCATCACCACGTCTGCTTTTAGAAGTGATCATGGTGCAAGCAATCTTTATGTGAAACACTGCCTATAAAGAGATAGCTGCACCTTTGTGCCAGGGGATATTCACAATACTGGCACGTGACTTAGGGAGTCCAGAATTCTGTCCCATACTGCCTAATGCTATTTCTGTGCTAAGAAATAAATCTGTCATCAGCACCCACTGTGTGTTGCCGATAAATGCAACAAATCTCCTCACTTGTAGGCAGCGCTGAGATCGCATGTGCGATGTGAAGCTATCCCTCTGTCCCCATAACTTACAGTTAGACATTGATCCCTCCCTCCTCTTCATTTTATAGCATTCAGCCGTCCCTCTGTGCAGTCCTCCCTGCCCCGGTGCTGGGTTCATGGTATGTTTTTGGTTTATTTTATAGTAAAAAATATCTAGATGTTGGAGCAAGACTCCTGGGCTGATCAATTTCATCCACGTTTTGCATACCAAGACCTGATTAAATGTTCCCAGTTAAATAGGGGACTGTCTGTAGCTGCTTAGACCTACTGAACCATGCATTTGCAGGGAATGTAAAAATAAATAAATACATTCAGAAAAAGATCACTTTATCTTCTAGCTATCTAAACAATGCAATAAAACATATATGGGATCAATTTATGAAAAAGTCATACTTACTGGTACTATCCAGCGTGGCGTAATTGTGGTGTATGAGGGCACCTGGAAAGAATAAAACAAATTCAGTTCTGATTTTTAATAGATATTCTCTAAATTCACTCAGACGGTGCGGCACTACCTGTGGAGGTTTGTCTGAAAGGTCAATAAGATTCTCTGTGAGTGAGGCTAGGAGAACGTCAAGATCGTCCGTGGCGCTCTGCACAAAGACATTACACATATTATAAAACACCCGAACCACAGCCGGAAAGGAAGGAACACAGTCAACACAACAAAACCACATCACTGTACACAAATGGCAGATTAGAATTAAAGTGCACTTTTCATGCAAATACGGAAATGATGGCGTTAACAAGATAAATCAATGAACCTTATTTTCTGAATAAAGCGTTTTCTATTTATATCTGTGTGCAGAAATTGTGTTCTGCGTGTGCATTCACTATGACTGTGCACAATGCACGGTGGGAAAGTGACAGAGTGCACAAACATACTTTATCCTATCTCAGAATTTGTCTTTCCCTATCTGAGAAAGACAAAAACTTTAGCACTATTACACCTGGTCCTGCAGATTAATAACAATGAGTGTAGGCTTTTATGGAGGCAGTGATACAAGTTATCAATATGAGACTATTGTAAAAACAAGTTAGTTAACTTATGAACATACATTAGGAGAACAGAATGAAAGATAGAGAGAGAGAGACACACACTAGATCCAGCTGCTACCTTAATCCCCGAAGCCTCCTCTACTGCAACACAGACAGACGGAATCACAGAGCTTTCGAATCTGGGGACATCTTTCTCTGGACTTAATAAAAAATAAAAAAATAAAACAGTAAAAGTTGGATGTGTCACGTTTATTCTTTCAAGTCAACAACACCACCACCACCCCAACAACAAGTACCGATATGAGATGAATGGGGCACAAAGTGGAACCCACAGACACACCCTTACTTTTAAACAGTGTACGTTTTTTTTCGTTTATTCTTTAAACTTGCTGTTATTTTGCTAAACATTTTTAACATTTGATTGAAGAAAGACCGGACCAAAAACTGAAAATATCTTAAATTTGTCATTGTTGCACCATCATGGCCAACATAGTAATGGATCATTATTTCTACAAAGCTGATTTATCCGATAATGTAACCCCATATTGCTTACAGTGTATAGAGTTTACAATAATTCGTATAATGGCGTTCATAAAATCAGACTGTGGTTAATTTGTACTTGGCAGTCAGTGATGGAGACTGCACATTAATTATGAAAGATTTAATGCAAACTGTGCATTAATATTCAATTAACCCTTTCAGAGCCAGCATGGAGGCATGGTATACCTAAACCCATGCTTTAACCCGGTCACTGAAAGGGTTAAGAGGTAGGGGTATATCCTAATTGGGGTTGAAGACACCTACATGAGGAAAGAACATGAACCTGGAGACTCCCCCGACTCGGCACATTCCTGGTTTAAGTTTGTTAATGAGAGGTTATTCATTTTCACAGTTACGTTCCTAAAGGATGAGAAATTGAATAAGTGCCTGCAATGAAAGGCAGGTGAGGGGAAAGTAAAGAGAGGACCTGGCGACTGATGGGTATGCGGGCAAGCTGGGGTAAGGACAGTAGGAGGTGGGCAGGCATTAAGGGTTTGGGTAGGTGACTGATGGGCAAGCCGGCAGGCAGGTGTGGGGTAGGCATTCATGCAGTCAGGGGACAGGCAAACATGCATGAAGGGAGGGGGCAGATGTGCAGACAGGGCGGGGGTGCAGCCCCAGGTGGAGGGGTGGGTGTGTAGCCCGAGGGGGAGGGGCGGGGGTGCAGCCCGAGGGGGAGGGGCAGCCCGAGGGGCAGGGGTGCAGCCCGAGGGGGAGGGGCAGGTGTGCATGAAGTAAGTGAGGGGCATTTGAGTTGCTTGGTTACCTGGTCAGATGATTGTCTCCAACACAGTTCTTGTCAACAGTCACCAGCTCATCCCTTGTGATCTACCACACAAACACATAAATCACAGATAAAATCTACTAAGCATTTACCACAACAATGCCTCTGCACAATTCTATGACAAGCAACCAATTAAATACAGTGATTTGATCCAAAGCCGGACACAGGAGACGCAGCATTACCTTGTGCTGTCCAGCTTCCAGCTGTGCCTTTAATATATTGCTCTTTATGTCAGCGGTGATCCATGCTGGTGATGTCTGCGCGCTCTCTCTGGCATTATTAAGACATTTCTCGGTCAGCTTCTCAGCACCATCCTAGGGAAAAGAGGCCATAGGGTGTTTAGCCTAATGGGTTACTTATGTAGCGACAACATATTCCAGTGATGGGGATCTCCGAAATCAGTGTAGTGAAGAGACGTACCAGTAATCCAGCTCTGGGAGTCTCCTCACTACACGGATTTCGGATTTCCCCAGCTATAAATATGTTTTCCTGAACTGTGAGATGGGGATTTTTATTACTATATTTTAAGGGTTGTTTTGTGTAATAAAATTGGAACTTCTGGTTTAGTTATGGCATGGCTCGCCGTGGCATACTCACATACTTTTTATTAGATTTTATCCATACTGATTATAGCTACAGAGTTACCATTAAAAAGGCACGCAATTGGTAACTAACAGACCAGGAGGGGGTTATCAGGGCGGGGTCTGTCCCTGGTACCTGCTTATTCACACTGATGTTCATATTTGCCTGTACCGGACACACTGACGCTCCATTGGCTTCCAGATTATTCAGTTTTACTGCTACGCCGTCAAACACTGAAACAAAATAAAATAAAAAGCACACATGAAATAATTTTTTTTTTTTTTAAAGTACATTGAGTGTGGCATTTTAATGTAATTTTATTCGTTCCTTGGTGGATAGACTTGTTGGCAACCTAGCCTCACCCAGGGCACAAAGGGCGAGAACTGTGCTGCACGTCCGGCTGTGTGGCAGCCAGCAGACATGGTTAGCGATGGAATCACAGACTGCGGCAATGGTCTCTCTCCAACTCATTGCTAATATTTAGGTGCATAGTGTGACTGGTTGTCATTTTAGGGGGTGCCCTGACTGACAATTTCTAGAGGGATCGGCTCCATGACAAGGTCTAGTGAAGACTGAGCAGAGTATTTTGATGGCATTGACTGTACTCAAGGGAGAATGTCTGTCAGGTTAGTGGTGAGTGTCAGGGGTGGCATTGCCTGCACTCAGGAGAGAATGTCGGGTACTTGGGTCCTGATCAAGGGGATCTCTCTCTGTCCCAAGCAAGAGACGATCCCACGGAGACTGTGCTACAAATTTACTCCCGGTTGAATCCACTAGGACCTGGTAACTCTGCAATAAACTGATTTTAATTGCAATGCAGGGAATTATTACCTGAAGGGGAATCCGCAAACTCAGTCTTCACCTCCTCCAGGCAAGGGTTGGAGAATCCCAAACCAGTGGCATCCAAACCTGGAACGTAGCCCGTAGGGACCTGCAGGGCCAACACTTCATCGAGGCCACTCTCCAGCAAGTCCTGGCTATCAAGTAACCCGATAAAGCTGTGGAGATAATAAAGCAGAACTCGAGTAATTGCTCACACTCACTGCCATGTAGGGCTGTATGACAGGTTCATAGCTAATTCTAATGACATTACTCAGTGCTTGAGTATGGCGCTGGTATTAGGGCTCACCTTAATAGTTGGTGATATAAGGACATGTTGATACATATTACACCCCTCCAAGGGGTGCTTCTTCATATTGGTAGCACAAAGATCAGAAAAATGGCTTTGAGAAATATCCCCAGACAGACAGAACACAGATTCACTAAAAATCGGGAATTGTGCAAAATGGATAAGAAAAAAAAATATATATTTTTTTTTTACCAAAATGGTAACATGACTGAAATGGGGATTATATTTTTTTCCAGTTTGCAATTCGCCTCAATTCCTGGTTTATTGAATAAACAACTTGTTTTCTGCAGAACTTACCGGTAACAGACGCAGTAACTTGGGAGCTTAAATAGCGGCCAATCAGTGCAGAGTGAGAGTGAATACAGAATACACACATCGCAGGGTTGAGAATTCCAGATTCATAGAAATATTCCAGGCCTGGCAGGATGTCTACAAACTACTCGAAATGTAATATACGCTGGATATCCAGACCTTTAATACATAGCTCACTGCACTGACACAATCGCATTGATAAATTCCATCACTGGGCTGAGACTTGATGTCAAGGATGTGGAAACATTAAGGATAAAGGTCAAGTCAAAGCCTTCTCCGTAACAAGCCATTGTGCGCAATCATTGTCCTACGTTTGACTGGGTGGAGGAAGCTGGAGGGTTGGCCTTTTACACTCTATTCAGCGGTCTGTGTGGTGTATGATGGATAGTTTTATCTGCCGGCCCAATTAAGTAAGTTTCTGGGAAGCCACGCTGCTGGCCATGCTCACAGAATGCTTCACCATCTCTACAGGTGTTTACACAGTCAGGTTCACTCACATTCCTGCACACTTGGTCTGCGGCAGGCTCTCTTTCCACAGAGGACCTAGTGCAGATCAATGCACACTACATGCACACAACAAATAATACAGGCAGTCAGAACAGAGCATTCAGCCTGCCTGATTGACAGCTCAGAGGGGCTGGTTTACAGCAGTGTGAGTTATCAGCCACTCTCAGCACTGAGAGCGAGTGCAGGGTTGCCATGGTGCTTAAAATGACAGTTTAAAGGGAAACCCTTCTTGGAAACTATTCCACAAATCCAAAACAACCAAAAATGCCAACAATGGATTCAATGTAATTCTATAAGTCATGTATTTGTGTTTATTTGATACCCACAGACTGTTTTCACGTAATGAGGGCTGTTGTTTTGCTCTTAGTCTGCAAATTAAAATTCAACAAGTAAATAAAAATCTTTGGTACAAAACGCATAGGAACCTGACTTGTTTTGTAGATTGCCAGGGTGAGATAAAATATATTTTAATCAGAATTTCTTGAAATAAGGAGAGGGAACAAAATAAATCCATTTACAACTCTTGTGATGTATGCAGGAGTCAAATTCCAGGAAGAGATGTTTGTCACCTACCAGGACCATGAACGGCTAAAACAAGTCCATTTCCTGAACACGGGTGTAATACGCCATCCTACAGGGGTGTCTTGCAGGGAAAGATCTGCACCAGGTGGTACACACCTCCCACAATGGGGATAAGAGGCTTATTACGTGTGTATATAGGACTAATTAGGTTTACAGATGTGAGGGACGTGGAGCTGCAAATCTAGTGTGTGTGTCTCTCTCTCTCTCATTACAAATTCACCATAAAATCCACCTTTAAAATCTCTTTATAGAGCATGATTCACCATGTCTAAATTCTGACTTACATTCCCCTTTTGCAGTTTTAAATATTTAACCTGGTTACGCCCTCTGGCTGTCAGACAACTGGCCATGCTACTTCCTGGTTTTGTTAGCTCAGTGGAGCTAAATTCAAGAGGTAGCAATTACCCAGAGCACTGTCTACAAGTCTTGGAAAGACTCTCATTAAGCTGCAGTGGGAAGTCTGTGATTGGACAGCCACAGAAAGTGTGGGCGGGGTTAGAAGGGGAGGTGTATACCTTTAAATTTTAAACTGGTGTGTAGGAATGCTGAAATGACATAATATGACTTAGAATAGCATATGAATAGAGAGAATATATAAAACATATGATATAAATATGCTTGTGTTGCAATAAATCCGATAGTAAAAAGAATGTCCCTATATTGATACAATTGTATCACTCTCTATTCATATGCTATTCTAAGTCATATTATGTCATTTCAGCATTCCTACACACCAGTTTAAAATTTAAAGGTATATACTACTCCTGAATATATATTGGATTATTCATCCAATATTTATTTTTATTTTTTTCGTCTATTGCACTTAGTGGATTTTTTAGTGGAGTCCCTCTTTTCAGTTGAGAGTTAAACCTTTAGCTGTGTTTTATACTCTATCCTAAGGTACACCATTTGGACCTTCATATTTTTTTCTGTTAGAAGGGGAGGTATTGCTAAGACTGTAGACAAGAAATCTGCAGGTTTTGTAAGCGGTTTTTAGATATACCCACAGTGAAAATATACATAATTAAATGCAAGCTTTTTTTTTATTGCCGGTGTATCTACTAAACAGTAATTTTGTGTTATTTCTGTATTGTATGTGGGCAGTGGAGTGTCCCTTTACTTTGTAAAAAAAAAGTGCTACAACATGCAATTCCCAAGATCGCTAGCAGTATTCGCCATCCTCTTTATTGCAACAAGCACTCCATCTAATTATTCTTAGATGGAACATGGGTCACAATACTCAGTGTCATCTTACATGTTGCATTATTTATACTCCCCTGCCCCCCTCAAAAATGATAATTTGCATTGATTTCTCTTACCTAGATAGCGTTACAGTAAATTATTTTTCAGCTTTATAATGTAGTACAGCTATCAAGACTAAGAATGCATATACCGGTATTTAATTGAACATTAAAATGGATATTTTCTTTTAACAATTTACAGATTCTTAACAACCTTTGACATCCGTAAATAGAAGCACCTTTTAAAGATAAAAAGGTAGACTTTTTTAACCTTTGTGTTTAGAACTCTAGGTGAGAAACAGAACGGACCCTATTAGAAGTTAATGTTACTACGACATTCATATTGACCTTGAGAGACGTTTTTAGAACAGAAATCGCTTATATTCAATTTACAAATCGGACCTTTTGCTACTCTTGTTCCGGCAGTGAACGTATCTTAAAATGTCCAAAGTCTGCTTAATTAATACTTGTTTTATCATGCTGGGTTTACCAGAAACACTGGAGGAAGGGGGATTGTTTGACACTCAGCAAGCAGTTAAGGCCTCTGTTTTCTCTGCGTCACAGATTAGTCATTGTTGCCCCAGAGGTAAAGTTTTGAAGTTCGACAGGTTTCCCAGCATTCTTTGCATTCTGCTCATACACAAAATGAGTAAAGCTCCGGTGCCCCACCAGCGAGGAGGGTGGCATTTGCGTTTTCCACACATTTCCATCCTGCGTGACCCCCGAAACATCACTATTCCTGTGTTAAGGTAAAATAATTACTATGGATGGGTCACGGCACCCACACAGAAGAAAAACAAGGAACAAACAGAACTTATCAAAGTTATTTTGCTCACTGACCATTTCGATCGATTTCGCGGTTTACAAAAATGCATTCAGTAAAATTTGGAGTAAGATTAGAAGCGTAGCAAAAGGAAGCTTAGTCAGAAAAAAAAGATAAAAAGATATATTTGACCAGTTTGGCATTGCATATTAGTTTAACGGATTAAAAGTAGAGAAGCAGTCATTTCTAATCACATGACGAGCCAGAGATGGCGCAGACTTTATTTCCAGACTCCTGGTTGTGTGGGCAGATTTGGCCACAATTTTCATGCACAGATGGAAGCGGTACACGTTGCTGAGCCCTTAAAAGGGGTTTTCCGAGGCTGAAATAAAGTCAGTGCGCGGCAAATTCCCCAGTGACAGTTTGCCAAGCGAATCACTCAGTAGTAATTGGCAGTTTGAGAAGAACGCAGGAAATACTTAACAAGACCCAAAATAAATCAAAACTGTAAAAACAGTCAGAAATGGAAAGAAATCCAGGGGTTGATGCAGATCACCGCAAGATGATTTCAGTGTAGTCCAAGCACGTCAATAATCACAGAATGAAAAGGAAACAGAATCCAGACGATTCGAGATGTGAACCCCGATTTCCCAGAAGCGCAGTTTAAGCAAAATTTTGTGCGAGCGATACAATATATGGATACTAGACCGACACGGACAGATCCATATTGGAAGGACTTAAATCATTGAAACTTAGTGAAGCACTGGGCCACCAAAATCGGAAAACCCATCACCAGAGGACGCAAATCACCAAATTATTTTACATAGTAGAATGATTCAGATCACATTTGATTTAGAAGAAAAAGCAGCGCAGCAGCAAGCAGGGAGATCACCACATAGGTTTTTAATAAGCATGATATAAAACCCATTACATTTAACCTATGTATTGCATTACACACAGTTTCTTTTTTTTGATTTATAGGGTGAAAATCTTAACATCTAATCTAACACTCCGGCACGTGCAGTTATATATAAAATATGTAACCAAACTGTCAGGGCTTTGGCTTTGTGTAGCATACACCTTGCTTTTATAACAGAACTCAGACAAATGTTAAAAAAATTCTTAAGAATTAGATCAGATCAAGAACTTGGTTATTATATGGCGGTGGTTTATTCTACCCTATTAAAAAATTATTTTGTCCAATAATTGGTTTATTTACAGCAAATGCAAGGCCAATTAGGCTAATGCATCATCAGTAGAATATGTTCAACCCTTGAATGGTCGTAGGTTCAAATCAGTGCAGGGATGAGTCAGCCCTTAATCCTTCCGAGGTAGATAAAAGGAGTACCATTAAATTGGGTAATAGTAACATCCCCTGGTTAAATACATTGATATCATCATTATTAAAACCAAATCACAATTTTCATCAAATGTGATCTGAAAGAAAACGGCCGCCACCGTCACTTTTATTTTTGCGGTTACTATTCTTTAGGATATAATTGCAAGTGCCGAAAAACTGTTCTCAGGACACTCAGGATTTACGGACTAGACTGAGAAATGCACATTTAAAACAATGATCTCAGTGCAGACGTCTCCTAAAACCTGCATTGTCCTTGTTAATATTCCACAATAACCAGACAATTCTATAAAAGGAAACAATTAAATGAACTGAGCTGAAATATAGTTCAAGAATCTCTATTTAACCAACCTGCCACACATTACTGCTGGATTCATATGGGTTTAGTGTGAGGGGTGACAAAAAAAACCCCCAAAAAAACATTTCCAAATACAAAGGCTACAAGGGAAATGCATGTTGTAGGTCAAAATAGCAGATTTAAACAGCAAAGTTGGAGAACTTTGTTCTAAAATTAGGATTATTCTTTCACATCTACAAAATGTTAAAGAAACTCCATTTTGACAGATTTCTCCCATAACCGGGACATCCTGAGCCTTAACACTCAAACCTGGAATCTTCGATTTATAAAAAAAGGCTCATGTTAGTTGCCAGGAACCATAAGATTTCGGGAAGATTCTACATAAACAGGTCTATGAAGGATGTTTTAAATATGTATTTTTAGTAAATGTTGTCAGATACACCATCTTTCTGTCTTCATATTAAAAGGCAACACTGGCCTGTACCCTCTGCAGGATTGCAACCAATTTGTTAATTACAGATGAATTCCTGGGGGTGTGCAGTGGGTGGGCTGGCTATTGAAATATATCAATGCAATGGGTGGATCTGATAACCCCAGTGGAGGGAGAGAATTTGGATAATAAGCGTGTTATTACAATCTTATAGACAAACCATTTCTTCTCTCCATGGCCAGCTCCGGGGCTCCTGGGAAGGTTCTCGATTTCCACCAACACTGGCCCTGAAGGTATATTGCTGACGACAGGAAGGGTTGGCTTCCCTGTCCAAACCTGGTAAATAAAATAAATGGGTCAATATGGGGCTGATAAAAAGGGGAAAATGTCCCTCCCCCCTAAAATAATCTAGATTTAAACCCCAAATTATCATGAAGATATGCCTGAAATAAAGAAGGTTCCTTAAAGGCACCTGAACCACCATAGCTCAATGTAATGATTATGCAGTCTAAAGCCCGTCCCTGCAGACTCAGCAGTGTAAACTCTGCCTTTTCTTTAAAAAGCCCATATTTACAATGCTGAAAAGATTACAGGACCAAAGTTTGACGTGCCCACACTCTGCATTAAAGGGGCACTGTAGGCACCCAGCTCATTGAAGTGGTCTGGGTGCTGTGTCCTGTTTGCACTTAGTGCTGCAATGTAAAACAGTACCTTGTCTTCCACAATTCACATTTCTCACAGAGTTATATGCCGTGCATCATTTGAAACCAGTTTTAGCAGGCTCTTAAATAACACAGACCCTGAACCCCAACTATTGCTTTATTCTGCAATGATTTCAGCCACATATGGAGACATATTAGACACAGTTTCACTGTCAGAGAATAAGGAAACCCTCAGCCCATGTGTAATAGGAACAGATTATATCTAACGTACTTGCTGAGATCCATTGGTTTGGGATGCAGGATCGCTACGGGTACTGCAAGTAAAACACAAGAAAACATGTTAGTTATATTTACTATCATTTCTTTGTGGCCCTAATAATTATTATTAATTAATAAATCATTTGTGAACTATTCCCATACATGCAGAGATGGAAACACTAACTGGTCAAGTAATGGGAACTTGCTAATTGTGTGATAAAAGACTTTAAAATGACTAATAACTATTAATCTGTGACATCACTTTAACAGAACTTACTGCGGCTGTTCGAGTTTTGCGGCCTGCGCTGTAAACAAAAGAAAAAAGATGTGTGATTAATAAACTGCTCAGAACTCTCCCCCAGTCACTCTTAAGAAAGGCCATGGTTTCAGTAAACGTTGAATTGTAGTAAAATAAAAACTGAAGAGCAAAATTTAAACAAATATAGCAATCAGAGACTAAAGTAGAGTTACAGAATTTTACCAATTTGCTGTAAAAGCCACAATTTTACAATTTGGTGTTTATTTAATTTATATCAAATGTGTAGAATTTCTATAACATCCGAATATAGACAGAATATGAATAAAAATCCAAAAACAAAACTGTCTGTTGGCGGTCTAACTCCTTTTTTTGTAATAGGTTTTTATGTGTCAGGAAATATTCTTCTTTAATACGGCAGAGGGATTTAGATAGATTGGGGGACTAGGCGCTCAAATGGCAGATTAAATTAAATTTAATTTAAAAAAAAAAAAAAGAGCTACGCACTTTGGGGTAATGAATGCACTAGCAATTTATACCCTGAATGGTAGTGAATTAAGGATAACTACACATGAAAAGGATGTGGGAATTGTTATAGACAACAAACTGGGCAACAATATGCAATGTCAATCAGCAGTGGCCACTAAGGTATTGTCATGTATAAAAAGAGGCATTAATTCTCGAGATGAGAATATAATTTTGCCTCTTTATAAAAAACAGGGCTATACATAGGACACGAGCTCATGCGTTTAGACTGGAAGAAATGAAAGTTAGTCTAAGGCAAATGAAAGGGGTTTTTTTTGTTTGTTTTTTTACAGAAGGAACAATAAGGATATGGAATTCTCTGCCTGAAGAAGTGATTCCATCAGAGTCTGTACAGATGTTTAAACATCAACTGGATGCATACTTGCAAAAACAGAATATTTAAGGACATCATTTCTAAATTGTGGGGCAATAGCTTCTTGATCCAAGGATTAATCAGACTGTCATCTGGAGTCAAGAAATATTTTTTCCTAGCCTGTTGCAAAATTAGAAGTGCTTCAAACTGGGTTCTTTGCCTTCGTTTGGATCAAAAGCAAAAAACAGATGTGAGAAAGGGTGAACTTGATGCATGCACGTCTCTTTTCAGCCTGTGTAACTATGTACCGTTCCCTTGTGTCACTCTTTGCTTTGTAAACTTTGAAGTGTTGTGGCAGAAATACAAATTACTATGAAATTAGACACTAGGATTATGAAACAGTTTTAGTATTGTTTTATGTCACAAATACTTTGTGTTCTTTGTGGTATACAATATTGTGAGGGTGATATTGCTTCTGTAGGCAGGGGTAACAGATTGAATAGGTCACAGAGATTGGGGTTAGCACTTCTTTGTTTAAAGACTGTGGCCCTGGAGTGTGAAGCCTTAATTCTCGATCTGGCTGTTTGTTAGTACCTCTCGTCTGCATCTGCAGTGTTCGCCGTGAGTAGCGTTTACTTGGTCTACGTTCAAATGTAGATGACCGTCGCGGTTTACTGGACTTTGTGGTTTGATATTCAGTCTTCCCACTTAAAATAAAAATATAAAGACATCAGCACAATTATGGACCCAATGAAACTATAACATATCTCTGCTTAACATAGATAGCCTGCTAATGCTCTGAATATCGCCAAATCTAAGCAGTGTACTGAGAAAGCACTGCCATTCTATCCACAACAGACACCTTCCCATTTATTCCGCTGCATTTGCTTCATTTAGACAACTAGTTGGCCCTTGGGCGCCAGCTGGAGGAAAGAATTCTGACCTGTATCTAAAACGTGATCCAAGCCGGATAAACCCAGAGCGACTGGAGCTTTTATGAACTGGGCCACGGAGACGGAAAAAGGCGTGATGCTCTATGGCGCACTTCCATAGGTGCTTGCATGCACGAGGGTGATCCATCTTAAATACAAATGTGTGTTCCTGCTCCTTCCCCTTTAGAAGTAAAAAAAAAAAAAAAAGAACAATTTAGTCAGGTACACACCGACACAAAGAACTCAAGTAGCACAACTCGGTACACGGCAGACACACGGCTGGTAACAGGGTCAGGTACACACCGACACACTAAAATCACCAACGTTGTGAAAATATTAGAAACAGACTATATTCTCCCACCACAGTCTGCGTCTACAACATTTTGTGTGTTTCACTTTCTTCAAAGTGATATTTAAAACACATTCCTTATATTAAGTCCTTAAATGTAATTTCCAATTGTTGGTTGATGGTAGCTAACTCACCTGTTCGTCATCTTCCACTACAACCAGCGTCAGTTTGCTCTTCTTAAAATCCAGCCTGGTGATTTTGGGCCTGAAGAAATAGATTAGAGATATGAAAGTCCATGGCAGGACCACACGTTTACACGGGCCACAATGCTGGAAACATGGGTCTAAAAAGTAACAAGTATGTTTAATAACTTTACTTACTACATTTAAAACTGCCCCGTGTGAATTTGGGGTGTATCTGCAATGGCTAGGAGACAATTTCAATGATTTGCTCTTCATTGAATTAACCCCTTCACTACATGTCTAGTTCCATATTACAAAGGTTGCTACCACCTCTCTCAGAATGACATATTTTGTGATACATTATATCAGCAGACCCCTTCCTTCCAGAGTGCTAGGCATCAGTGACAACACTGTTACACCAGCTGGTATTCCAAAGGGAAGAGGTGACAGGGGAGCCGAGGTTTAAAACAAATATTGGGATTTCAAAGAAACGAGTTAAAACGATGTAAACACCATGAAAGGTTTCAAGTTCTCTCTCAGCATGCTGTACTGCCCCCTGCTGTCCACATGTGGAATTATTACTACCAACAGATGCAATTTAGTTCTCTAGAAATTGCCGCCATAGTTTGCAAGATAGGTGCGCACTCAGAAGAGACGATACAGACAGAAGTATGAAATAAATTAAAATGTCGGCTGTGTGTGTTTAATGAATAAGCAGTGCAGCATGAATAAAACCACTCAGCAAGATAATAAGGTTACTTTCTTTTATGACTTCTTTTCTGAATTAACCCAGCTGCAATGGTAAATATATCCACAGCCTCTCGCAGAAAGCGATGGTAGCGCCAGTAAAAAGAACCGTGATGCTGTATGTGGCATACGCTGTGATATAAATAACTGGAAGGGGTCAACTTAGAGTTGCAGTAATTTAGCAAAAAAGTAAAGACAGACATACGATGACCTATTGAAAATGTGTATGTGGTTATGGTAGAAAGTCCTGAAGAGGTTACACTGTATAGCACATTGCAGCCCTGTGTGTGAACGGATCTTATCAGACTGAGTCTAGCAGGGCACACAGGGGAATTTACTAAACCGGGAACTGTTCCCAGTGGTTTGCGATTTGGATAAATGGGTCATAAAATGTAAAAATACCTGGGAAATAACCCACTATTTCCTATTTTAGTGAATAAATTTGATTTGTCTTTAAATGGGTCTTACCAGAAAAATAATCCGATCTTTGTTTCACCTTCAAAAACCAGAACACCGGTTGGTGTCAGCCCAAGCTGGTAATCGTTCCCATCTCTGGCCTGTTTGCAGAAAAAAAGAAGAAGATTTGAGCACTGAATTTTCAGAGTTAAATGAGGGGTTAAGAATTTCAGTAACCAGCAAATTGCAATGTCAAACTACCGACAACCTTTCATTCCACCCAACAACACTTAAAAGATATAAAACGCACACGCTGATAAAATTATCATTACAGTGAACGGCCAGACAGCATGTATTGTACAGCGCTCTAGAATACGATGCCATTTAATAGAGGACGATAAAAGGGGAAATAATATTCTTGCTTCCTGCAAAATACAGAATTGGTAAATTAATTTAAAACGTGTATTGTGGACATATCCTGTCTCTTTCTTATTTTAAAATCGGAGCAGGAAATCATTCTGTAACTGGGAGTCTTTAGAGCTGAACCCAGGACTTTGGCGAAATCTGCAGTGATATAACGAGAGATATTCTGCCTTTAGCTGGAAGGATCAATCACCAGTCCTGTTCCTGTTTTATTCCATGGACAGGAATCCATTCTCATTACCATCATATAACATAACTCCAACCAGTCAAGGCTAGAGTCACTGGAATTACCAGATGTACACATATGAGCAAGTGCGGTTGATTTTGGTCATTTTTTTTGTACCATTTAAAAAAAAAAATTGATTAAAAAAATAAATAAAAAAATTTAGGTAAATAATACATAAAATCTAGAAATAAAAGTAAACGGACATGTTTGCTTAATAGAATCTAACCTAAAAAAAGTGGCTCTGTGCTGTAGATGCGCAACCCCCAGCTGCGCTTTAAATACTCTGTTCATACAGCTCAATACCACAACATTCATACCACACGTGGCTGTGCAGCTGGAAGGAAGGCCAGACAGAGAGATATCATGGACCATGCTTAAGGTCCTACCCGGCTAAAGCCACGGCACGCCCCGCGAAGGATGGACCGGCTAAAAGCACAGCCCAGCTGAAGATCTGCAGATTGATCTATACCAAGAGCTCTGGTTCTATATATGGTCACAGTTGTAACATCTCCATCTTGGAAATGGCGCGTTTACAATAACGAAACAAACTGATTCTACACACAGCAATCTGAAGGTGTTGCCTGAGGACCAACAAACCAGCGGTGGCCAACAGGCAGACCTCCTAAAGGCTGACTAAGCATCATTAGTGTTGGTTCTAAAACTGTTGGATAATCTACCTGTGCGTTAATATCACTCACCTTCACAATGTGCATGTCCACTCCATACATCTCCAACCACTTCGCTTTGTTCAAATAATTTGTCTCGGCTTCTCCGGGAGTCTGTCCCCTGGGAGAACAAAATCACCATGATTTATTAGAACATTGTACAGTGCTGCTGCATATGTTGGGGCTTTTTAATGCCAGTGATGATTAGAACCAGCAGCTTATCCAGCCAGAGTCATCCTTGGGCATATTGCAGTCTCTCTTAATTTAATACACGTAAGGAACCAGCTACAAATTGACAAGTTTTAAACATTCACATCATATGTATAACTAAAAAACATCAGAATAAACTCTAGCCGTCTCTCCCGGGAGCAGTCGCATTCAGATTAATCAGAGAACACAGTCACACCAGGCTGTATAAGGTTGTAGCTATGCTGCACGGTAGCCAGGCAAGGCTCTTTTAATGCAGTATATGCTCATATTTGATTGCGTGTAATGTGAGTGGGTAACACGCAGTAGACCGTTTGGAAGAGAGGAGATGAGGGATAGGTACCCCAATAATGTAACAGAACAAGTGTGTGAATGTGAATCCTGCACAAGGGAACATGCTTTCTGATTGTAACCCCAGGAGAACTGGATAGAGTCACAATCAACAGCCACCACCCCCTTTTTATTCTTGAAGATGTGGCCGTATGTTGGGAAAGCAAGAGACAGGAAGTTACCGGAATTCTTTCCACTTTTCAAACACTGCAAGTTCCATATCTTCAGTCTGCGTCGGCACATACCGGAACTCAGAGACCAGCTCTGGAATATGCTCTGCAGGGTCGTAATCGCCAAGCTCACCTGGATTACAACGAGGGTAAAAACAAAATATACTAATTATGCAAAAAAAAAAAAAAATAAACAGAAATTTTTATATTAAAAAGTTTCAAAACAGATACATTTTTGGATGGAATGGGACACTTTGTTTAGGATTTACTTGCGGTTGTCTGTCTGTAATGATCTAAAAGTCCGATACACATGTTTATGACAAACTGAAAAACAGGCTCAGAATGACAGGCAGGCTGCCCCCATGAGAATCCCCTCCTCCCCATATGTAGAAACAAGTTGCTAAATCCAGCTTAGCTCCAATCTCCTTATCATTGCAGCAGCTGGAGGCGAACATTACTGTCCCATCATAGGGTGCTCACCAAACCTTCACTAGCAGCAGGAAAACACTGCAATATAAGCAGGATCATTAATACACACAGCAGTGCCACAAAGCTCACAGACGGCAGTGTCGCACGCACAGGATATTAACTTGTTAAATGGCATCACGGATAGTGAAACGCAGCACATGGCGTGTTTGGATCTTATATAAACACAGCAGCAAGAAATCTGAGTAATTTTGTTAAGGTTTACGGGGGAAAACACTTACATTTTTACCTTAAATATAATAACTTCAGACATTTTGACTGCTACACTAAGCGCAGAGACAGCGATCGCTATGGTAGCTCCTCATAGACAGCAACTGCAATGGTAACCACGTACAGACAGCGCCTGCTACAGTATTCATGCAGAGACAGCGACAGATCCTGTGTCTCTATTTACTAACCATGGAGTAAACTCTTACCTTGCAAAGTATAGGCTGCCAGCTGCACCGCAGTGTCAAACGGACATTCTAACCTTAAATAAAATAGATACATATATTACTGGATACTTCCATGTTAAACAACTAAACCCAGAAACAAGAACAGACTGAATACACTCGCACAGTGATATACAGGGACCCTGCAGAGAAGTTTCATTCTGTAATCTTTCAAACAACCACGTGGTGATAGTGGAATACGGTTTTATTTCAAAAAGTTCATCGGATTGGATGTCAGGGTAGTTAATTCTAACTATAGGGTCTATTAAAATAGATGACCCAAGAGTGAGCAGCCACGTGACAATTTATATAATGGATCTTCTAAGGACTACAGCACCCATGATGTGGGGAATTGTAGTCTGTAGAGCAGGGATGCTGGGTTATGCAGTCCCTGCACTAATAGTAGCGAATAAATAATATTAGCACATCTTACTTTCCACTCAGAATGTCTTGTTTCAGTTGTAGAACAAAGAGGTATCTGTGGGAGAAAAGAACAGAATGTTATAAAACGATGTGAAGATTAATAATTCGAACTTTTGCGAGAATCATAAGCAGGTTGTACTAAAAGATCAGAGCACAGCAACTTCCAAAGCATGCTGGCGATTTACCCTACTTTTCTTATTAACATGGTGTAACTGGAAAACGATGCTAGAGAGAAAAACAACAAATAAAAATAAAATAAAAACTAAACCGCTTCTTGAATTATACAACGAGTCGCACACAAGAATTAGAAAGATATTAGAATACTGTGGTATAAGAACGTTGTCTGCTTGAGACACGTACGGATTCTTTTAACAGACTATCTATGGGTGACAACACGGTCTGAGAAATTGGAGCATATACCATAAGGCAGTTCGGAAAATCTTTTTTACAGGTAGATAGGAGGTAAGAAAATCACGCCATATTTGTAGTTTGCTGCATAGTCAGCAAGACAGTTTCCAAAAATAAGGTTCTGGTTTATATCCATGCTACCAAGTCAGATCCTCTGACTCAAATTTTGCAATTCCTTTCTCAGTTCTCTACAGTGAACCATGATACCAGCTCCATTACTAGAATGACTGCGCAAGGATTAGCGGAAAGCTGCAGTAATCACAGCGAAGGTTATATCAGGTCGGGCGCAGAAAATCTAATGCTGATGCTGTCTGAACATATTTTGAACCAAAGGGTGTGAAGGACAACTGTCAAAACTTTACATAAGTCAAATTAAGTTGGAAAATAAAGAAACACTGTGCTGGTTACTTTAGCTACATCTTCTCCTCTAGTCTAGAGTGTGAGGGGGGTAACTATCGCTTTAAGGCATATTGAGGCCAAGCAGTCATTGATTATCTGAACCACAGACAGAGCAACAGAGTTCACTAAAACCCAGGTCAGGAGAGGCCAGGCTGCCCCCAGCTAGTACCACAGCTTTTTACTATTAACAAGATATGTATAAACAGCTACTGTAATTACATTACACCAAGACTTAATCTAATTCAGGATGGAAATGGTGCATTCAGTAACTGGTAAGAGATCAGTTTTTTTCACAAATTTTAAAAAAGGGACACTATATAAACACTGTCATTTCTGAGAAAGGGCAGTGTTTACATTACTGTCACAGTTAGACAGCCACTAGAGGTGCTTCCTGGGTCAGTGCTCCAGGAGTAAAATCCAGCATCTCCACGCTCTGCATGAAGATGCTGAACATTCCCAATACTGAGGCATTGATTCAATGCAACTTTATGAGGAAATGCTGATTGGAGTTTTGCCACATGTGCGCTACAGACTCCCAATGCTTTCCTATGGAAAATAATTGGATTGGCTGAGATAGGTCAACTGTGATGAGGAGGCAAAGTCAACCACAACGTATCACACAGCGCTAGAATAAAGGCAAGTTTAATAGCTTTTTAAAGAGTGTCAAGGAGTATCGAGGATGAAATTGCATTTAAAAATTTTTTTTTTTTAAATGTAATTCCTTATTTTATCGTGCATGAGAGTACAGAGAAACTTGCAGGTACAAGGTTAACATTAGATGTACAGAAACCGTTAGAAACTGCATTTTTAACACTGTTGTGTCAAGAATACACGTCTGAATTCCTGACACTATAGTGTTCTTTTAAGTAGAATCTTTTTAAGTAAATTTTGCTGGATTCAGAGGTTTTATTTTATGAAAACATTACTTGTGAGTTCAAAAGCAGAGGACACAAAATATTGCTACAAATGTAACATTTCCTGCAGAAATGGAACATGCAAAGAAAGAGTGATTTCCTACGGAAGCAATGACAGCACACATAGGATATAGGTAAATAAAAAGCATTTCATAAAAGAGAAATTAAATGAGACAAGTAGAAATAAAAACTACAATAAAATGATATAATTCAGGTTAAAAAACAAAAACAAAACAAAAAAAACCCACAGTAACTTCACAATAGTCTAAGAGGACAGGTTGTACAGTGGAATCCAGTTGATCCCCTCTGCCCTAAATTAACAAGTCTATTATCATTTATTTGCAGTGATAAACTCAAAAAAGTTAGGATTCCACTGGCAGATACAGGCTGAGAATGGACAATCAGCAGTATTTTCACTAAGCTTTTCTATATGTACATTAAAAAAAAAAAGTTACAATGTACAACGATTTTAATTGCAATCGTATATTTTTGAAAGTTCACTAAGTGTAATGTTGTAAAGCAGTTTTGAATAGTTAGCAAAGGGAGCGCTAAACACTAAAGAAGTGTTACGCCTCCTGAAGAGGATCTCTGTAGTGAGACAGCAACGGGCAACAGAATGTACTACCCACCATAGGCGTGCGCACGGGGTGTGCCGGGTGTGCCTGTGCACACCCTAATCCCCGTGGCACGCCTATGGTTTGAGTCCTGCAGGAACAGCGTTCCTGCACTTTTTTTGAGCAGGAACGCTGTTCCTGCAGGCACTCAGTGCCCCCTGTTTCACCTCTTGCCCCTGTCATGGGGAGGGCAAGAGGTGATGGATCCGCACCCCCTCTCTGCAGCTCAGCGCGCGGCGAGGGAGCTCTCTGCTGTCTGCGCTCTGCTCCCTCTCGCCGCGCGCTGATGCCGGAAGCCAGAATATGACTTCATATTCCGGCTCCCAGCTCCAGCAGACAGCCCGCGCTGCACAGAGGCGCCCGCCCCACTGGACCCCAGGGACAAGTCCACGCCAGCACTCCAGGTAGGAGGCTGGGTGGACATTGTTTTTTAAAATTAAAATATAATAATTTGTGTGTGTGAGTATGTGTGTGTGTGAGTCTGTGAGTATGTGTGTGTGTCTGTATATATATATATATATATATATACACATACATACATACACACATTATATATATATATATATATATATATATATATATATATATATATATATATATATATATATATATATATATATATATATACACACATACATACATACATACATATATATATATATATATACAGACACACACACACACACACGCAGAGCCGGCACTATCTGAGTGCCGGCTCTGCTCTAAGCCTTCATGGGCCGGCGGGGAGACCAAAGATCTACCTCACCGGCCCACAGCAGCATGGAGGGAGGCAGTAGAGGACCCAGGGAGCTCTAGACAGAAGCTCCGCCAGGTTCCTCTCGCGATATCTGAGCGTTGCTGCGGCAACGCTCAGATCTCGCGAGAGTTAACTCTAGCCCCGCAGGCTAGAGTTCACTCTCCACTGGACCACCAGGGATGGCACATGGCAGCAAGGATTTACTAATCTGCCAAATCCCTCCAAACATACAGCACACACACATACAGCACCTACACACATACAGCTCACACACACACAGTACACTAACCGCACCCTCACAAACACACACAGCACCTTTAAAAAAAACACAACACCCTCACACACAGCACACTAACAGCACCCTCACAAACAGCACCCTCACAGGACAAACATACACACACAAACACCCTCACACACAAACAGCACAGTCACAAACACGCACCCTCACATCACACTAACAGCACACACAGCAGTGTGTGTTTTTATATATATATATATATATACATATATACATATATATATATATATATATATATATATATATATATATATATATATATATATATATATATATATATATACACACACACACACACACACACACACACACACACACACACGTGCGTGGCGTGTGTTTGTGCTTTAGGGTGCACACCCTAATGCAATAGGCTGCGCACGCCTATGCTACCCACAGATAAGCAGGTGGATTCTGGGAAGCACTATTATGGTCACTGAGAAGCTGCAGTTGTAGTAGCGCTGTACACTTACCGGGTGAGTTCTTCCCGAAGGTTATTGGGTTCGGAGGAGTAGAATTTTACTCTGAGGTGAAGGCAATAAGGGGATCCAACTGCAAGTCAAAGGGAAATTTTTAGTTAATAATTAAAGTTAGGCATTTACCTTGAAAACAAGAAAAAAAATTCAAATTGTAAATACAAATTGTGTTTAATAAAATCAAAACATGCATTTGTCCAGAAATGGCATAACGCTGCGTGGGACCCAGAGACTGGTGGAAGACATGGCCCCAGACAAGGTGCGAATCATCGCTGTGAGAAAACGTCAGAGCTCATGTAGAAATCTAGAATATATATATATATATATATATATATATATTTTATAGCTGAAAAACAACTTCAAAATTACGTTTTTCATTGAAGATAATCCAGATGGAATAAAAAAAGTTATTACGGGAGTGAATTAAACTTCTAAATTTAAAAAATGGTGGTTTGTGTGATTTGATTTTATTTCTTATCGCTAACCAACCAATTTTGCAGTCTGTTATTTTAGCATCCATTTTTAGTTGATGGTACGTATGGCTCACATACCATTCTTGCTAATCTCACGTGAGGAATGGTGTGATATATTTTTTGCAGACACTGCTCCCTGTCCTTCACTCTGTGTCTCTGTGCAGCACCCCAATTAGAGCAATTACTGGATGCCATCACACTGTCCCCCGCAAGGACACTCATTGTGATAAACCTTGATCCAGCACAGCTTCTAGAGTTTCTACTTGGCCAGGAGACCATATGGAGCAAGGGATTATGTCAAGTTCAATGTTTCAGAGACGCACACTGGGCAGACTTGTCACAGCACGGTCGCTGTCTGTATGCGCACAGATCCTCTTAATTTAACCATTCCAGAGATTGCCCAAGGAGCCGATTATCATCTAAATCTGCCAAGAGAAGCCAATGTATTTTGCAGCCAAAATATATACAATTCTAGCAGCAAAACAGTCACCAGCAGCATCTGATGACTGTGCAACTTAATGAAAATTTTCACATACACACATTAACTAGAGCAAGAGGTGCCGCCATGAAAATGAGGGAGATTTACTAAAGACTACGGGAAACATCACTACAGCTGCTTGTTTACTGGAATAGATAGAGAGCTATTATAATGTATTTACAGTTGCAAGAAAAAAGTATGTGAACCCTTTGGAATGATATGGATTTCTGCACAAATTGGTCATAAAATGTGATCTGATCATCATCTAAGTCACAACAATAGACAATCACAGTCTGCTTAAGCTAATAACACACAAAGAATGAAATGTTGCCATGTTTTTATTGAACACACCATGTAAACATTCACAGTGCAGGTGGAAAAAGTATGTGAACCCTTGGATTTAATAACTGGTTGAACCTCCTTTGGCAGCAATAACTTCAACCAAACGTTTCCTGTAGTTGCAGATCAGACATGCACAACGGTCAGGAGTAATTCTTGACCAAAAAAAAAAACAACTTACTTTTTACTTGTTTTTTGATGCTCTTGGTGTGATCCAACCAATGCTAAAACAGAGATGTAAATGTTATTTAAAAAGAGGCTAAGTATTAGCTAAAATCGGAATTTTACATTTGGCATATCTTCTGGGGATTGCCACCTGTATGCAAAATACCATCATGTTATTACGTTCTAATACAAGCACAGCCTCACAGAACATGCACTAGTGTTCAATATTCAGTGGTGTATACCGTACAGTAATTTCACTGCCAGGCAGCATAGTTCTAGCTGAGCTGTATTCTTAAATAATCGTCTATTACGGCAGAACCACAAATAATTGAAATTGTTACTATTGCTACTAAAGCAGACAGCTGCCTGCAAAACGTGTGCGTACATGCTATTTAATATCACAGAGCTCAAAACCAGAAAGCAACAGTTAACATTTACAAACATGAGTTTCACTAAGGGCCAATGTGCACGAAAAGAGAACCATACCACTTGCAGCAAACGAATTAACCTTCACCTGATGTTACAAAGTAGATTTGTTTTCTACGCAGGTTTCTCTCAAAGAAACCATTAAATATTAAGAATGCAGAGGGGAAACAAGTAATCTTTTAACTTCGTTCTTGATTTAGGAGATTTGAAACCTTTCTAAATGACAAGCAGTCAGTAATAAAGGCAATCATCTTGGGTTTTCACTAACGAGAACTCAGCAGTATCAGCAGGCGGCCAAGTTCCGGCCAAGTTCCTGCCGAGTTCAATGCAAATGATCTAAAATTTGTTTCAATTCCATTTCGGACTCCGTTCGCATGCAAATTCCATATGCACCTGACCCAGCATGCTTTGCAATCTGCCCCAGAATCCTTTGCAACAGTGCCTTGTGACGAATATATTCACAGAAAATGTACAGACCGCTATAACAGTATGAATTAATACAGAGGGATTTCTAATTCTCTTCTTGCCTATACATTGGCTAGTACAGGGCATTGGTAACATTAATACTGAATTAACAGGATTGTCCTGTTATTACGGACAAAGTCTCTTTAACTCTTAAAGGGCTGGTTAAATCCAATATTAATGTACAGCTGTATAACTTTCTCACTAACATGACAGATATATTAAATCCTGCACACAAGGCAAGCTGTGGGCCTTTTAAAACAATATTTATTTATTTCAAACATCTTGGAGTAACCCTTTGCATGCAGTGACTGATAAATAGAGGCAGACATGTCAGAGAGACATATGATCCAGTATTAAGATTCCTTCGTTCTCCGCAGACAGAGGCTGATGGGGCAAGGGTGGGTGAGGAACTAGCTGTGCCTGGCTCGGAGACCGCTCAGCCTCCAGTCTGGAATGTGGAGGAGAATGAAAGAAAACAGACTCTGGGATGAAGGAAAAAACACAGCTCTAACTTCTCAGTGACAGCTCCCCCTCCCCAAACAGCCTTCACCTTCCACATGTGGCCCCTCTCCCCCTGCTTCTGCTGTGAGACGGGACCCTGGCACAGACATGACAAACAGGCTGGCATAGCAGCTATAAAGGGGGAATATACTTTGTTAAGTTCTGCCACTGCCAGGACAATCCATGCTTTGGCACAAGTTTCTTAATGGGTGGCAGGAAGCAATGTAAGTGGTCCTTAAGGGGTTAAAGTACACATAAACCAACAAGCATCAGATCTAGTTATAGTGGGTGGATGCAATGGCAGTGATGAGGTGTGGAATCCCCCACGACTTACAGGCACTTGCGCGGAATCCATGAACTGCAGGCCGAAGTAATCCTTCTCGATCAGGTCCAAGTGGTACATGATCTGATCAAACAGCTCCTGCCCTTTCGCCTTTTTCTGAAAAAAAAAAATAAATAAAAAAATCAACAGGTTTATATCCGGCATTCACATCAACCAAGCCATTGACAGTCTATGGAATATATTTACTAAATTGTGAACTACAGAATAAAATAAGGAAACGAACAAAGAGATTTAGGTTTTTTTTCCTTCAGACTTTTTGTCCCACAGCCTGTGATTTACTGAATAATGTTATTAGTTTGTGAAAATGCTATAAAACATTTATCCGCCCATTACCTAGGTGCGCCAGTTTGTATCCAATGATCACTGTTTGGTGTAATCATACTTTAACAACTGTACCTACTGCAATTATTTTAGGGTTTATTCACTGAACAGTGAGCTGAAATTAAAAAAAATTAATTAAAATAAAAGAGGTCAAATGTATGTTAAGATAGCTGATCTAACTCCGTTACTGTCACAGCATGGCTATTTTAAAGTCTGATTTTCAATTCACGGTTTAGTAAATTAACCATGCATTGAGTATTATGTGGCACGTTGAAGCATTGTGACATTTACTTCACGCGGATACATTAGCAATTTTAATCTCTCCGGCCATCAAAAAGTATCATGTTAATAGCGAGTTCTCTAAACCGTAAGTTTGTTTGGGTAGGGCCCTAGTAGTTCCTGTAACATTTTGTAATGGTCTCTTATAGTTCAATTTCTCCCCTTTTTATAATATTGTAAAGTACTGGGGAATAAGTTGGGACTCTATAAATGCCAAAAATAATTATAAGTAAGAAGTAGCTGTGTGTGATTTGTTTACCCCATATATCAGTTACCTGAGGGAGTGTGTGTGTTTGTGTTGGGGGGGGGTTTGGGTTCATCAACTCACATACCAATCAAATCTAGGCGGGGATTTTGATTGGCCAGTTATATCAATGCAGTCTAGGCATGGGAGATTTTCATTGGCCCTATACACTAACAAACCGTAGGCAGGAAAAATATTACCTGCCCCCATATACAACGGCTCCCGCACAGTGCCAGCTGTAACCCACTCAGGGATAATATTCTGTATTTGATTGTGAAAAGATATTTGGATTTGGGCAACGATACGATTTCAAATGTGTAATATTGTATAAGATTTTCTGGGCAGGGTCCTCAGCCACCTATTGTTCCTGTAACATTTTGTAATTGTCTATTTCTTAAATATCCCCATTTATAATATTGTCAAGCGCTGCAGAATAGGTAGGCGCAATATAAATGCTGCTAATATGTTTTGTATATAATAAAATGTAAATATGATGTTGAACACATTTTATACGTTAAAGAATTATAAATATCTATGGAAACAGTTGAGCAAGGTTAATTCCTGTTTTAAGATAACTAGATGGCGGACACAGAGGACTAAAGTCCCAATGTTAAGTGGTCACATGCGGCAGGCAGCGAGATACCACTCCCCATCCCCCATTCCAAGCATTAGAGCTGGGTAAATATTTATCTTGGTCAATTGTGCTTGGATGGGAGAGATGAATTCCTGCAGCAATCTGCACTCTCAGTCTTCACTCTCTGCAGAACAATGTCTGTTTCAGGGCAGTGCTCATTAGCCCAACAAAGAGGCTTTTCAGGGCAGCCAAAAATCACAGAAATCAGCCCATCTCCATTTACTGGGGTCTGAGCAGCTTTTCCAAGAGCACAGAGGATTCTGGGAACGCATGTCCTCTGCAGAAAAATATTTTAATTTCTCTGGGGTGAAGCGCAGATCTAAGCAAACAGGAGAGTTCATTGCCAAGTCTTGTAGGGTACTTCACCTCGATAAGGGATCTCTAAGGAATGCAACCAGCTGTGTATCAAAAGGATAAAGGCCAACATTAAACCATCCACTGCTTACATTAGATCTGCTGTCTTAGTAAAGCTCTATCACACCTGACACTTTCATCAAATTTCAACAAGAACAGACATTCTAGAGGGAGGCATGCTAATATCTAAAATACAGCCATTTATCACCCTGTAAACAAACCCCAAACTTAATGTCTATTTGCATTAAAAAGATGTTTTGGCATCCTGTTACAAACATGCCAGATTATCCATAAAGAAAGTCAATGAACAATGTGAGAACTACAATATCCAACTTACTATGTTTTACGCAATAGTCAGAACTATCTTACTTATGGGTAACATTGATACGAGAAAATAAAAAATGTTGGAATAACATAATGTGCCATGACACTGCAAATACACAAGGTCACGCAGGGAAGCATGACAAACTGTAGATGTGCGCAGAGGGTATTGTTATCACCTAAAAACACCAGCAGCTTATTCCGTAGAGATATTCAGAGGGTTAAACCATTCGCAGCAACAAATCTGAAGTGACCAAAGGAAGAGGAGGTGAGGGGTCTGATGTGGCAAAGTATCGGCACTGATCCCCTGCAAACCACCAGATAAAATCGCTATGAAATACTACCATTGACTTGTATTGGAATTACTGACATTCCAACTCAGTGAGAATTTACCAATTTGGGACTACTTTACCTTGTGCATTTTTCCTACACCTGACAAAAGAATCTTTGTCAAGTCCCCAGTCTATTGGTGGAGGGGTGGGGGGTGGACCTCGCAGGATCCTCCATACATATCAGTTTTGTGCTCTTGCCTAGCTGAGAGAACGGCATTGATATTGGCTCCAGACCGATGAGCTGCTAGGGGCTGAAGATGATCAACCAGGTGGACACGCTGGCACCTGCGATGGAACGTACCTTCCCTTGCACCCCGGGGCCATCACAATGCAAGCAGTCATAGAGCCACTTTAACACGGACTTAACAGGATTGGAAGATTGTTACACTGTGAGCGCAGTCCTAGTGTGATTTTAAATAATATTTCAAAAAACACAGAGAGCGAAAGAGACGATTCTATTTGGAGCTTATTCTGTGAACCACTAATTGTACAGAATGGAGCGGGGAAATCCTACCTTTCCACTAAATATAGGAACTGGAAAATGTGTCCAACCACTGGTTTTCTAATTTCGTGATTTTGATCTAAAAGTGGAAATGCTTTGTCTCATTCTTCACAATTCCCAGATTTGTAAATAGTGATAAATTCCATTTCCTGGCTGAAGTCTGTGAGCCACAATGTCTGACCTGTACTGGGAAGATATGGCCGCTTATAGAGAACATTCATTAATAAACCTTTTAGCCTTAATAGGTGAACAATCTAAGGATTTATATCTCACGTAACGATGGCAAGCTTGAACGACGACAAGGGGAAACTTTACGATGTAACAAAAAAAAAAATTCCCACGAAATTCCAGACACCAAGAACCACATAAACCTATCTGTTCACAAAGGGCCACGTTGTCAGGGAGCTGCGTACCGTCATGTGTAGGGGCAAATGTGTGCAATATAAGGACAAAAAGGAGGTTCGTTCACTAAATTGGGAAGTGTGCAACGGAAGACAAAATAGCTGAGCTGATAAAACCAGATAAACTGAAAAAAATGCTTCAATGTAACTATTATAGAGTAAAATCCAGTGAATTAAACTATTAAAAGGAGGGAAATTAAATGTAAAATGCTGTGCACTGTTCCCCCTAAAATCAGCAAGCTAGCAATGTAGAGTTCTGCAATTACATGCATTCTTTCCCCCCTTATTTTAATCTAACCTCACTCCCCCCAAAGGAGAACGCAGAAAATAGATGGCTAAAATGAGGTTCGGGCTTTAGCCTTGAATTTTAATGTATACAAACAAAATAGAATTGGTAAAGAAATACAGTGTTTGTAAAGGTCAATGGCCCCTCCTTCCACCCTGGAGATGATATTTCCAGTTATTAACACGGATTGGAAAGGTTAATCAAAGTATATAAAAGGCCACCAGGTAACGGTGTATTCACGCAATTTGCCGCAGTCAGTCACATGTAGAGTGCTAGCCAGAGGAAGTGCGTACAGAACAGCGAGAGGTAAATGGAAACATAGGGAGTAACAGTAAAAAAAAAAATAATAATAACTTAGAAGAATGCACTAAATCTCCCAAATCTAATTAAATGGCAGAAGGAACTGAAATGACTGAAATACACAACAATCAGTTTGTCACTGTGTACACAAATCAGTCTGTGCCGAGAAACATCTCTGGGAGATTTAGAAGGGAAATAATGATCACATTTGATATCCCTCGCAAAAAAAAAATATTTTAAAAAATGGAAAAATAAATAAAATTAACTTTCTTGAAAGGGACATACCAGGTACCAACATCATACTACGCATTTTCTAGATTTAGGCTCAAATAATTAGCTGTATTTTTTTGTACTGCCAGTTTTGTACAGTTTTTTTTTTTTTTGGGGGGGTGGGGTTAACGCATCATTCTTTGTCATCTCACTTCCTCCATTTGAAACCCCCGTCATTCGTGCCAGTTACGGTAGCTGCGTAGTGATGTCACAGCACCATTGCTATCCCTCCTTCCTGACACTTTTCATAAGTAAAACTGATAACTGAACTACATGTCCCAGAAGCCCCTGCTCTGATTTCTGCTAACAAATTAGATTTATGTGAAGGATGCATACCTCTCAGATAAGGGGGAAACAAAATGTGATATAAAAGAAAGAAACACACAGAACAAATTCACTGTCATGTGCTATGGTTGAGAAAAGACTGAATGCTCTGATAAAAACCAACAGGCTTTATTTATCTAGGGTTTTACCTTCTGTTTTTGTGCCCCTTGCCCTAATTGAGACGGTTTTAGCTTTGTGAAATATTGAGTTTTAATGGAGTTGGAACGGTTGGAGCAGAGTGTGATCTGTGTGACTGTCTAGGTTTAAAGTCTGGTCCCTCTAGAGTCACACAGCCAATAGCCAATAAGTAATACGCTTGGTGTGCAGGGTAACTAATCGAGTCCAGAACCCATTATATGTACCTGATGGCCCCAACAAATCTCACAATTTCACTTAGACATGCGCATGTTAGTTGTCATTTTAAAATTATCTTCATGTTAAAAAATATAAATATTTATAACTTCTTCTTTCTCCATTACAAGAAATTACGTTCAAGATTAAATCAACTGGGACTTCTGATCCACAAATCCAAAATCCTTTTAAAATAGGAACGCCCTCACCAAAAGGAAAAAAAAAACAACAAAAAATTTCTTCACTACAAATTGGGAGGATTTTGAATTTGGAGCTTTACAAACCGTCCAATAAAACACACACAATGAGTTTCTATTACACAGAGAGCCCTGAAAATAAAGACTGCTGGTCTTGGCTCAGCAGATAAAATGGACTATCCCCACCCCCTCCTGCAGGCAATGAAAGAATGAAGGGATTTAGCAGGAGATACATTGTTACAGAGGAAGATTCTCCCTTTAACTCTTCATTAGTGGACACCTTTAATCTGTACGCTCACGATGTGAACTAAACGCTCTCCCTGAAAGAGACTGCAGAACTGGAAGGACTGTCAATGGTTTTTATTTATTTATTTATTTCCTGTATTTGTAACATTTCATTCAAGGACCCTGGATTGTTAGACACAAATAAATGTTTCTAATAAAGAATTCAGATTATCTACAAACCCAGTGAGTGAGACGAAAGGATTTTCTGTACATACAATACACAAAGATCAACCAGTGGGAAAAAACAAAACAAACAGAAAATAAAACAAAAAACTGCAAAGTATTTTCATGTTTGTAGTAAAAAAATGCTAAGATTATAAATAGATTATCAGGAGACATAACAGTGAAATGCACTATGATTGCAAGCCTACCGGGCCAATACGAACAGCCCAACCCAGTGAATCTTTAACTGGGTCTACCCCAAGATGTCATTAGAGGGGACACTGATATATGTAGGAAGAATCCAGTGTCTCCTTCCCAAATCTCTTGCAGCCCTGCCTGCGTCTCTTTTGCAACTTTATTTACATAAACCCTGCTGATTATATATTAACCAACCATCACATGGATGACTGGCTGTCACACAGTATGTGCAATAACTCCAGACACTGTGTGCTGAATTGCACTCAAAGGGAACTTTTCCCAAAGGTGCAGGGAAGAAGCACAACTTCTTACAAAAATGCTCATTTGCATGGATAAAGGAAATTATTTAATGGCTCCCCACCCTTTTAACCACAGGCTAATATTTATACACACACCAATATAAATAAATAAATAAATAAATAAAGTGGGGGAGGGTTGCCTCTACCTGTTCTTATTTGGTTAATTAAATAAGCTATATAATTACAAATTAATATAAGACGTGCAGCACTTTTTCTTTTTTTAATCTGGGTGTTAAAGGGACAATATAGGGTCAGGAACGCAAATGTGTATTCCTGACTGTATAGTGTTAAAAAACACCATTTAGACACCTGCCCTACTTCAACACAGTAAGAATGTTTGTTTAAATATATATTATATATCTATCACCTTATTTCCAATGCAGCACGGGTCCGCTAGCACTGGCCCCGCCTTTATCCAACTCCTTGGCATGACATCATCCCATAGGAAAGCATTGGATTGGCTGAGATTGTCAATTCTGATTATCTCAGCCAAGAAGGCAGGACAGGAATGGAGCCAAATGCTACCTTACATCAGCATCTCCTCAATCAATGCATCTCTATGGGGAGAGTGTGGAGACGCTGAACGTGCAGCACTGACCCAGGAAGCACCTCTAGTGGCCATCTGAATGACTGCCACTTGAGGTGTCCCTTGGGAGCAATGTAAACACTGCCAGTATTTATAGTGCTACCACTGCAGGAACTGGCTATAGACACTAGAACAACTACATTAAACTGGTGACTATAGTGTCATTTAAAGGCTAGCGTAGCCAAAATCAAAGCATAGCGGACAGTTTTTCCAGTTTGGCTATTTTTCCTTGAATTTGAAATTCACTTGGAATTCTCGCTTTTGTAAATAACCCAGTAAATGTGTCATTAATGGATAAACGTGGCCCAGGAATGAGATCTACATTCACTGTCCCTGCAGTGGCTCCTGAGACTACGGTAAGAGCCACACTGGTGAATACTGAAAGTTAAATACGACTGTGTACAAAGTTTCGCTATCTTGACCTTTTCCATAACATTTTGATGGAATCAGCTGGTGGCTTATAAATCTGTTCGGATAATTGGTTTTTATAGGGCAATATGCCAGGCACAGCACATTTCTGGGAACTCGTCTGCCCTTTGTAACTTGCACATTATAAATAAACGAATACTGATTATGGGGCAGCCTGGCACTGCACAAAACAATTATTGCTATTCAGATTTTATATTGCGTCTTAAGTGCCAAGCACAAAATGCAATGACGAGACTCGGCTAGAATTCATCAATCTGCAACTAAAATAAAAATGTTTGTAAATAAATAAAAAATAAAAAAAGACATGCAATTTCTCATTATTTATTTTTAAACACAGGAATTATTAATTGATTTATCCAAGAGAGCATATGCAGTAGCAGTGGCTATCAGATACTCATGGCTTTTCAGAAATGACATTCCATAAAACTATCACACTCTCAGTGCGAGTCCTGGGCTGGCTGGAATCGGCTGATAAATCCAGGAGATGCAGCAGATTTGCATTGGCAAAAAGGAATCAAGGAATCTATTTAACCTGTGGAATTTACAGGAATATATAAAAAAATATATATAATAAAACAAAGGTTGAAAATAACAGGGTAACTAGATCTCATTCCCACAGTCTATGCACATTCTTATAAGGGGTCTGCAAAATATTTAGAATAATCTGCATGACGTATAGTAAATAATGTGCCTGATTTCGGACACTACACACCTGGCGTCTATTGTAAGATCAGTGAGAACACTTACTGGCAGATCCACACTGACATCACTCCCATCAAGCAGTGAAACTCGGCAAGTGATAATCGACTTTGCGTCTCCAGCTGCAGGGATGTGGGTAGTTGCCCTCTGAGCGTCACGCAAACGTTCCTTGTCAGCATGCCGGCGCATGGACCGGCGGCCCAGCGTGCGCCGGAAAAAGCTGAACATTTTTGGGCTGCAAAAAGAATGAAAAAACATTTACATAATACATACACATTAAGAATTGGTTGGTAGCTAAAATGCAATGTCAAACTGATAAGGGTTTCAACAAAAATGGACTCAGAAAAGCACAAACCGGTTCCACCAAAACAAAATGAACTCAAAACGAGTGAGACATTTGTCTGAACATGAACTCATGTCGTCACACGTTTACTGAAAAAAAAATGTTTGCTCCCATAGCAATGCCAGTAACTTTTAAACTGCCTATGGGATTGGGACAAGCCTCTAGTAAAAATGTTTTTATTAATTAGCCAGGATCCATGGAGAATTGACCAGGGAATTCCAGATCAAAATACCCCAATTAAACAAAAGGTCAGATACCCTTCCACTGCACCTATTTTGTCCTTATACAATTACACACAAACCTCAGTTTACAGAACACACAATGCTTGTATTCAGGTGATTTATGGCTCCAATTGAAGATGCAGAGGTTTCCCTTTATGTAAAATGTAACATTATTATTTAAAATTATAAAATAGACACTATTTACAAGTTGTACCATTGGTATTCTAGCTTATGAAAATGATCTAGTAAACATTATTTTAACATTGCGGTATAAAGACGATAATTTTACCCAGGCAGAGAGCAAGTTTTATTTTTAATAGCATCAATTTACCATTTACACGCGTCACAACCCAGTCACCAATGTGTTAATATTTGTCAACACCTCATGCAATTAACACAGGAATGTGGAGGAAACAGACACTGGGTCAGACTCCTGATAACACCCTCTGCCCCTGGGCTTCCATTTTAGGAAACCAATAAGATAATTAGCACATAAAGACAGACCAAGCCCCCTCATTAATTTATTAACTATGGAGCTCCTTCCATGATGGGGGCAGATGATCTAACACTTCATTAATATTATTATTACTGGTATTTATATAGTGCCAGCATATTCCGTAGAGCTTTACAATATTATCATTTAACAATAAATGAGACCATTACAAACTTACAGGAACAATACCCCAAACCCCATGTACCACTATACTAGGTTTACCAGACCCTCCAAGCTGAAGGGCATTACATGAAAAGTGCTGCCTTGTGCTACAGGACACACGTCAATACATTAAATCAAGAAAATATCTAAAGGTCTTGGCGTGATGATAGCAATAAATATTTTATAGAAACAGATCATTTCAAATGTGTGATAAAAGCTATAACGACTTAAGATAGAGTTTATGGATATATTATTGTGGGACACGAGGGCACGCCATATTAGTTCGGTCTTAGGAAATATCGAGGAAATGGAAACAGTGCAGCTCTGCCTCCCGAGTTACTGTCAATGAGTATCTGTGGCTGCCTGGGAGTAAAGCTCACACTAAACTTGAGCAGACCAGAACATTTATATCTTATTCTAACTCACCCATCACAGACCCCCTCCTGACCCTAACTCTCCTGTCACAGACCCCCTTTCTGACCCCAACTCTCCCATCACAGAACCTATTGCGACCCCAACTCTCCCATCACAGATCCTCAGGTCTAGTTTTCTTATCATAACCCCCTCCAACCCTAATTCTCCCATCCTAAACAAGCTATCCCAAATTTCCAAAATCGAAATCTTGAGTGAGGGCTACTGGGCTTTGTAATATGATACAGTTATATGCCAACATGGTCTCCGTTGTACCACACACTTCACTTGGGTAAACCAGATGTAACGCGCCTGGTGGGGGTGCACAGCCTGCCTGGTGCAAGTCGCCGCTTTCTAAAAATTTGTGAATAATCCCATGAGTACCAGTGCTTGGCACGGTGCCAACCAAGATTTAACAGATCCATAGGTTAAAGCATTAACAGTACTTCATTATCGTTTCATGGAACAATAAAGCAACACAACCAATGAGTAAAATGCCAAAGGACCCTCGGTGCAGCTAATGGTACTTGGCATCTGCTACAAGGTATCCCTCAGTTCTGGAGATTTAGTTAATATAAAGAATGCTACGCCATGACATCATCAGGTACCTGGAATGGCTAAAGTGACATCAATGACTGGTCGAACAGAAAGGGCACAATTATCATTAAATGAGGAGAATGTGAGGGGTACATGCTTTGACACTCAGTCTAAAAATATTTACCATTACTGCTAAAATAAAAAATATATAAACAAAATTATTTATTCTATACCAAGGGTGCCCAAAAGGTAAATCCCCAGATGTTGTAGAACTACAATTTCCATGATGCTTTACATGCCTTTGTGCGCTTTTAGACTGGCAGTGCACCATGGAAGCTGTAGTTTTAAAACATCTGGGATTTATCTTTTGGGCACCACTGCTATAGACACAACCATCGTCTGTGAGTCTGTCTATTTACGCTTCACACATTAGTGGCACTCAGTGTGGGCTCTACCTCACCACCCTTGTGAGTGGCACTCAGTGTGGGCTCCCCCTCCTGTGAGTGGCACTCAGTGTGGGCTCTCACCCCCCCTCCTGTGAGTGGCACTCAGTGTGGGCTCTCACCCCCCTCCTGTGAGTGGCACTCAGTGTGGGCTCTCACCCCCCTCCTGTGAGTGGCACTCAGTGTGGGCTCTCCCTCCCCCTCCTGTGAGTGGCACTCAGTGTGGGCTCTCCCTCCCCCTCCTGTGAGTGGCACTCAGTGTGG